AGTGCAAGCATCAGAAGTTATTCGAATACTTTCGTGACCGAGTTGATTACATAAACTTGCGATTAAAGGACAAACATTTGTCAAACAAGCTGCGAGACGTTCCGAAAATATTGACATTCCATTTAAGGGAACGGCTCCGTGCCCGTATCGTCGACAAAAAGCCGACACGATTGTATTAAAATATTACGATTTGCAAATAGAATTTTAATGGCAGAGAACACGAGACGCGGGAGAGCGCGAAATTAAATTTCACTGCCGGTTGGAACGTAATCATCGCACGCGCGTGAAAGTAATGTAATGACGAAAATTGCAACGTAGCTGCGGAACAATGGCCTTTTCAGCGTTATTGCGACGTGTCGGATGGCGGTTTATTTTCGCCAGTAATAATCGTGATTGATGGAACAATGATATTGTGATCGACGACAATTATATTTATCCCGCATTCGATACTCTGATCCATCGATGCCAGGTATTATTCCATTATATAATATCGGAGATAATTTATCGTCGACACACGAAGACATTGCATTCCACGATCCCAGAGCAAATGGAACGGACTAATTTAATCGAATCGTCGTGTTTCGACGCTGTCGGGCGGTTATGAAAGAATATGTCACGAGGTACTACAAACAAATTATTCTATTCCGGATGATTCTTCGAGCACCACTCGACGCCATGTACTTCTGGAGCACGTGCTTTGCCAGGAAGAGATACTCCATTACGTAGAATTCCGAAATTAAAGTATTAACATTGAATAAAATATGCACGTGACGCTACAGCTATCAATTTATATAATACGAAAGATAAATATAATATGAAGTATTATAAAAATATAATATAAAAGAGATTCAAAATATATATCCCAGATTACTCTTCAGAAAATGACTGGATTGTTGCAATTTTCTCACTGAAGATCTAATTGGAACATAGGACTTTTTGTTATAAATGAAATTACGCACACATATAGTTAGTCATATGCATAGTTCTTCGTTCGCATGGCAAATATCGTATCTCCTAATCGTCGGTAAAACAGGCATTAGAGTTTCATAGGATATTGGCCCATCGCTGACCATAAACAGCCTTGGTGTCGCTCGAACGACGTCCATGAATTTCATTCGCGATACAATTTTCAAGTGTCTACACGGCCTGACAGGGAACGGATATCGATCTTCTTTTTTATCACGGACACGTCATAGCCGAGATGACGGAGTTACTTCGTCAGACATTCCAGCTACAGGAGCACGTGCATGTACCGAGGATACCAGTCAAGAGTCAAAGATATTTCGGTCGTTATGACACACCGAGAGAGCCAAGCCGGATGGTGCCGCTAATTGTAAGTATGAGAGACGGTTTGGCTCTGCGTTGGCAAAGTTCAAACGAACGTCAACTGAAACGCATGCAGAGAGTAAGACCTGATCGGTTAGCATTTCGCTAAGAATGAACGCAAAAAAAAATTCGCGTGGTCTTCGAAAAATTATAATTGGCGACAGAATTGATAGATCGTGAGTACGAGCTGTTTGCCACTCGACAGACTCTTTTAACCCATCAGGAAGCAAGCAGTGAAATAATTCGTACAATAAGTTGTATAAATGCAATATTCGAATAATAGATATACATAAGATCAAAAAGATTCTATAATTTGATATAAATATTTCGATTTTTTTTTTTCAATCTTTATTAAATTGCAGAAGATAAGATAAAGTATTAGCGAATTCTTTTATCAGCACAACGCAATATGTTTGTCCTTAATGGATTAACAGCAGCAATTTACACAGATGCAGTTACTTTCCATCGAAATGAACGCGCATTACAGTTAAGTTCGTGGAAATGTCAAACGTGAGTCACACATTGATTGACCCGAGTTCTTCAAACTGTTCGACACAAAATAACCCTTCACTTAGCATTGACGTTATCGATTTGGCAGAACTTTCGTCCCACGAAGTGCTGATCGTATTCATTCCGGAGGTAATGCTCGAATGAATTTCACGAGATTGCAAGACGAGTAACGAGATTAATGACTATTCCAATTGGAAGAAAACAACGAAACCGACTGACGAAACCTGACTAAAGATCGAGATAGCGGTTCCTTCGAACTATTCATGCGTCGTAACCCGTGCTTTATCGGAGTGTTTGAATTTTAGTCTCGGTTATTCTGGCCAAGATGAACCCAGATAATCAAGAGAGATTTAATCGCGTGCAAATGTGACAGGGAATCATACATACGTGCTTTTCTTTCTCTTTTTCTCTTTCGTTGAATATTTCATGGCGAGGAAACATAAAAACTCTTTGATTCTGAACATACCCGATCATCGAGCGGTAAAGACGGTTGATACATATATTTTGTCTTCGCTGCCTCGAAGACACACGAGGAATCGAGTCGAGCTCGCGAACAGAACACGCGTCTATAGAACAGAAACCGAGAAATCGAGTGGAATCTGTATACATTATGAAGTACGATGCAAAAGACAGCAGGACAAAAGCGAAGGTGGCTACACTGACATTCCGACTACGTGGATTTTTATTTTTGCTCGCGGTTAATTTGATCAAATCAACATTAACAACGAGAGATATCAGTCAAAGGGAGACAGAGGATCAAAAGGAGAGAAAGTTAACAAAAAAAAAGAGCGGATCAACGGGAATAGGAAACCCTTGGGCTCCGTGGGCTACATAAATGGAAAACGTTTCCTCGTTCGAGCGACTTTCACGTTCATGCGTATTACTGGTTACCAACCATCGATCATAAAACCACCGATACAAAATGGAAACGTGTCGATACATATTTTAAAGCTGACCTATAGGATTGACCGCAAGAATTGCTCGTTATCATGAAGTCACTACGTACCGTTGACCTTTCGCAGATCGATTTCTTACAAATGGAACGGAATCCTTTCTAAAGGCGCTCGTCACGTGACATATCTAGCATTTTAATAAAAACGACTACAGGTCATATTTGAGGAACAAGAGAATCAATGGCACAAATTACGCAATATCGTTGCTCCTATTTTGAGATTCGTTAAAAGCAAGATTGTCGAACCGATATTATTTAGAACTGAAAGATTATTCAATGGCGATATACAACAATGTTGTTGTTATTATTATTATTATGAATTCAAAAAATTCTGGCGAAGGTAAAGAAATTATGTTAACAGTGGCTACATCTTTCAATATGACTGATATTATATGATTTGAAATATAAAACAGAGAAATTGCAGCCGATTAAAATACTTTGAAACGAAAATCAGTATAATGTGAAATGTCAATTGATTAGATGAAATAATAAATTAAATGACATAAATGTTCATAAAAAATAAAGTTCAATATCCCGATCAAGGTACACCGACGCACGCCGTGAAAATATGATTGGCATACATGCACATGTAACGCATTACGCCTACCATTACATCATCTGTGGCATGTGTTCTCAGCAGCATGCAGTGCTAGCAACCGTGAACCGAAGGTCGCGAAGTAGTTGACGTGACAATGACCCATTCTGTTTCTCGTATTTAATTCTTGTTTCCTATCGAAATTTTGAAACTTATTCGCGAAAATGATAACAAACGTATTCTCATTCCAAACAATAAGCGGAAAATGATTTGAAAAAAAAAAAAAAAAAAAAGAAAAAGAAGACTCATAAACAGTTGTTAATTAATACGTTTTTAATCACTCGACGATATTTTAAGGCAAATATTATGCAAAGTTGTGCGTACAAAGCGAGCAACAACAACGCGCGATACAGTATTTTTATCCATAAATACACGTACTTAACTTTGAATGCTAACCAAAGACAATTTAATGGTCATATTCCAATTTATCATTTATGCAATCCAATTGTAAATATGACTCATGCGAACGCGGTTTATTGTTTGAATGTTACCCTTTCATATATCGCAATGTAGTATATTATGTAGATACGCAAAGGGTAACTATCCTGAAAACATTTCTCCACAGTTAAACACATATTTGCCGAAATAAAATATATTTGAACTTTCTTGACTGTTGCTGAACAAAGCACGTGTACGTGGTTTTGAGAAGAAATGTTTTTCAGATTGCGTTCACGCATTTCGATATACATATATACATGTACTAAAATGGCAATTAATTGTATTTTACGATATAGCAAAAACAACGAAAATACAATGAACATGTATCATGTATTTTCTCGTACCTTCGATACCCTCGCCGGATACATTCGGTTAATATCACGTTAACGGAATGCCCAGGGATCGATTTCAGGACGAAAACGTCGCTCCAAACAAACAATATAACAAATGCATAGGAGCCGTCGGTCGAAAACTCCTAAGTCCACAACGCGTTCGAGTATGCTGTTATTATCTGGTCTATTTCTCCGAATATCTCATAGGTCACGGTATAAAGACGAAACTGCCGTTCGAGATAATCGCAGGCGGCGAGCATCGCGACAACGCCTCGTCTCGCGGTGATAACGCGATGGAAATTATCGACCCCGGTTCGCCGACGGGGGTTTGTTTTGAACGTGCATCCTCGCGCACCAGCCGTCGCCAATAACGACGATAGAACAGGGCAAGCCTTTCCACGACAGTGGCGACGGCGTCGTCGACGAATTCTCGATTCGTACGAAGACGCGATTATTATAAAGAGCAAGCACACGTACGGGATAACAGGTTGCTGCCGAAACACGAGCCACGTATCAGGGAAACGTGCGTTTCGTATTATACACGACACGACCACGACACGAGACAATCTCCTTCGATAGCGCGCGCATCGCCCATTGTTTCGACGCGGTGGCGGTGATATGGGTAAAAGCGACCGGATAAATGGCGACTTTCCCCCCTCCGCTGTGTCGCGGCCGCCTCACGGTAAATCTCACGCGACACGCCGAAACGCACGCGTTCGCCGTGTCAGTGTACCAAACTGTTCGAACAACGGGCAAAATCCATCCGACGAAAAAAATTGATCGACAAATTCCCCCGACGAAAAAAGAAATACCACGGCCGAAACTAATATATATAAAGTGTACTCACCCTGTGACCAGATTCCTCGAGTCGCTGCCTCTTGGAGTGTGGTCCGTCTCCGTTGAACGCCATCCTACGGCTCGGGCACCGGGCAATTTAGTTTTAAAAGCGGAGCACTTGGTGCTACGACGACACGTCCGTGTGTATACCGCGCGGTTCTCTACCGTGTCGACGATCTCGTGCGCGGGCGGGGGAGGGGGGAGGAAGGAGAAAATAATCGGTAGGATACGACGCGAACGCGACGAGAACAGACAAACGCGCGAGAGCGGCTTAAGGGAAACTGGATCTCGATGTTGCTGGAGAGGAACGTCTCTGCCCTTAACGAAGTAGCCGGCCACCGCAGCGCTACCTACCGACGCCACTATTTCAACGATATGGCGAGTCTTTAAGGCGGAACCGCGCGCACGCGCATTCGCTTGTTATCCAACTCTCCCATTGGTCCGCGTGTCGTTGCTTACATCGTGCATTCGTGCGACATCACCATTGAATAGTAAGTCAAAAGAACAATTGCAACAAATATTGAAGTATTTGTAACGTCGTTTTTTTTTTTAAATTCTTATTATCGCAAAATAACGAAAAATTGGAAACTGAAATACATTATTTACCGACGCCTGCGACCGAATGGTATTGCCCAATCAAAGGCACATCATAATCCGGGGCGACTTTAATTCGTGGACGCGGGAAGTGCGATCGCGGTACTTACAGTGATTGAAGGAAAGTTCGAGGTAGGTTTTATCGGAAAATAATTCAAAACTGTAAACGGATTAGTTATTTTTCCTAGACATTAACACTAAATTTCGTGGTGACAGTCTGCTATCGAACACTGGTTTTAGCGTTGGTGTCAAATTTCTTTCAGACAGAAATAAGAATCTGTCATAAAGCACAATGGTTTCCACTAATGGTGCCAACATCATTCGAAGCGATCCAAATACTATGACTTGTTCCCATCGGTTTAATAAGTTAATTATTTCTAAATTATTAATATCAGATTCTTGCGGCTGCAAATAAGCGTCAAAATTTGCAGTAGCCGCATGGCAATACCTGAAATAATTAAATGTATTTGTACATACTTGTACATTTATATATTTGACTATCGGCTATTAGATATTAGTCACTTAACTGTTCAAACGTCATCCCTTTTGTTACTTTGACATTTCTAAATTGACTGTGACGTAACTTTTCATTTTTCTTGACTAAAACTGTTTCTAAAGCTGCTCTGTATGTGTGTACCTGAAACAAATAATTCAGTTAACAATATTTATTCAAACATGTATATATTTATTAATTCCACTTAACTATTAAATCTTCATAATTTCCGTTCTTTAATTTGTCACAATATTTTTCAATAGCATGACAAGCTACTTCTAATGCTGTATATGTTAACGAGTGATTTTTACATGCTAGCAGGTACTTGCTAAGTGGATAACCCTTCGATCCACTTATATCTGATCTAAAAATTAATTATCATATTACAGAATTAATTATTATACTACATAAAGAAAAACATTCAATGAGAAAACATACGAACTGTATTGTTAGTTTCATATAACAACATCCTACAATACAGATAAATTTGGCTTCACATCTAGATGAGTAAAGCTTGAGTAATATAGGAGCTAAATCTCCACAAGGATGAAGTCCTATAAGACCAAATTCAGTTTCTGTCTCACTTAAATCAAACTCATTCTGAAATAATTCTGTTAATTGACTAGTTAATTCTGATTCGACTAAACTTGAAGATTCTAATTTAGCTGTAAAATGTTGAGGGCACTTTTGGTGGTAATTGGGTATGTGCTTTCTTATAGACATCAATAATTCTTGATCCCATTTTCTGTAACAAAATTATTATCAACAATAACTTCAATAGCATCGTGTCATAACAACATTGTATACCTAGCTTGTTGCAATAATGTACAATCCTGTTCGATGCAAGTAACATTTAATCCATATTGAAATGCTAAGATTCTAGCTAAATGACCCATTCCAGATCCAATATCAACAATACATTTACAACTAGCTTCGTGGGCACAGCCTGCGCATACTTGAGCTATTTCGTGTATTTCATATCTCTTTTTTTTCTTTATATGCTTTGAAAACAAATTATTAAATTTATGATTTTGGTAATGTGACTTGTCGAAAATGTAATTTCTACTAGTTCTCAAAGTTTCATTATTATTATTGTTTATTTTTGTTTTATTGAATTCACAAATTAGTATACTGTTTGAGTCTTCGTGATTTCTATTTACTTGTAAAATATTAGCAACTTGACGAAGTGCAAGCAATGTTAATGGCCATACACGTGTGCTGTAACACAATTGAAAACAATTGTAGAACACTGTAAAACATCAGGTTCGAACAGTATAGTGTCAATACCTACCACGAGATGTCTCCTGATAACCATTTACCAAATTCTTGAGGAGGTGTATCTTGTAATGCAAATCTCCAACTTTCCGGTAATTTATCCCATAACTTGTCTTGAAAGAAGTCCTGCATTAAAGAAGAAAGTAACCTGTACAGTCCATTAAAGCTACCACTCGATGAAAGTAATGACACGCGTCATAATGTTTGGACATATATCGAATAAATCCAAACAAATATAACACTGTAGAAGATGCTGGTGCTAGATATATTTTTGATATTACGTACCACAACATAAGAGTTCAATAGCCAGCCGTATACATCTAGAACGCTAAATATTTGGTCAATCGTGACACGAATTCTGGTACAAACTTTACATATGCACCGAATGTCTGTAGGTGCGGCCATTGTTGCAGTGAAATAGCCGCGTAAATTTAACTGATCGCTCCACGTGGTTCTAATTTTACCATAAAATTGTCATTCCAAAAATTCATTTGTTAATATTCAAATTTATCTATAAATAATTAACTCTCGATTAATAATTTTTATCACATACATATATATCTAAAGTGAACGTATTACGTATTCTTATATCCATTTAAACCATTAATCAAGGTTTTTAATTTTAAGTCATTTATAACACGCCATATAAGATTTCAAAATGTACTCTACGATGGAAATAGAAAGTGCAATGAATATAACACCGGCTACAGATACTTTTTGTTTAATGCCGCATATCCTATCTAATTATATAACACAGTTACGAGGATATGCATGCATATGTAAGTGCAAATGATATAGCTAATATACCAAACAAACTCCGCTAAAAGAGTCAACGATAATAAAAAAAAAACGCTAAATTGTCAACCATAAAAAAAGCGAGATAATCAGTTTAATATTTTTGCTTCTAACGAAGATATATCGAGCAAACGAGCCCCGGAAACAATCTGCCAAATCGAAAGCAATTTTCTCACAAAGACGCATAAAATTTTAATATACGAACCAAGGTCTTACGAAACGACGGACCATCTTCCGCCGCTTTAATACAAAAGGCAAAGGAAATGAGGACCGTTTGTTTGCTTTATTTATTAATTAAAAGATCGGATGCTATTCTCGCCATGTCCCACTTTACCGCACTTTCACTCTTCAACAGTTACGTTATTGCTCATGAGCACACTACTCTCCGGGAACTGTATACTCACAAACTGTATGGCCTTAGACAGAGAATTGTATCATCTGCTACTCTGTATCCCTGGACTTTCATGAGAACCAAGCGTCTAAGATTCGTGCAATCCACTCTTAAATGTTTCAGATTGCAACTACTGTTGCAATTATTGCTAAACGCCACGATAAATCTATCTTTATCTATTGTCGCTCGTCTTCAGTACAGACAATTAACTTCGAACAATATTGCACAGTTTTTCTCATATTTGTGAATTCTATGAAATCACATTGTTTGATCTTATTCTTTCGATAAAAATCAGAAAATATGAAATTTGTTGACCACGTGACATAAATAATCTTTTCACGAAAAACTTTACGCGGTTAGAAATCACTGACCATTCGATTCTTTGCTCATCGTATTCGAATCTCTCGGTCGTTGTTTGGATCTCTTACGCCAACGTAAGTGAAAGTTTTCAAGTAGGACGAACGAGACGTCGAATCTCGACGATACATGGATATTTGCTAAAAGTTCATCCTTATGGCAAGATGTTGGTCCATTGGAATCGTTAAATGTCAATGTACTCTGATCACTGCTCCTTGTCTAATTACAAAATCGATTGACAAACTTTCGAAACTTGACAAGTGTGGACGATTTTATCCTGTTGCATCCTTGGACCATCAAAGTTCAAAGATAAAGATGAGGGAGATTATAGAGAATAAAATGATCCATCACAGTTGCATGATGCTTCCAATCTGGAATACATGTTACGCAAGTATGAGAATTTTGCATCATCAAAGCTTTTGCAACTAAGGGTTTTACCAGGTCATCCTCAGTTAACTAGTAGTCTAGATTTCTGCCTTTCACAGCAAACTGAACACGATTTACGGAAAAAGAGTGCACGCGATCTTTTCACGTGGGATAAACTTGTTGGAAAATCTCGGATCGTTTCTATTATGGCGAGGAAAACTACGTAATCTATTAACAAGGCTAAGAACAAAACAAGTAAAAATATAAAACGTAATGAAAGATACGTATGTAGCAGTTACGTGAGTTGTAATTTTTTTAATTCATTAAGCAACGTAATTGCGTAATTATTATTATTTATTTTTATATTAGTGATCGCAGTTGAATAAAATTGAAATATCGTTAAAAAAACAGAATGAAATGAAATCGAAATATAAAAAAAAAAGGTCGAGAAATTCTTGAATCAAAGAATAACTGTTGGTACATAGTAAAAGTGACCATGGGAATTTACTTATCGCCGTGAAAGAAAGGTCGTTAGACAGACGCAGGAAATGATTTGTTCATAAAGAAATCGTTCGCTCGGAACCGCTTTAAACTTTTAGCGAAAGTAATGATAAGTGTATGTAAGCGTGAGCGCGCGAGTGTACGTGTAAGTTGCCGTGCTCTCGAGATGGTAGTCTTTCACCGAATAATTCACTGTGTACAATACCAATCGCGCACACGGTCTTCTCCTACAGAAAAGATAGGTTTCGGTTTCGATAGACCTTGGAGGTCAACGGAAAAGGAACGTTTAATATAATCGCCTTCCTTTCCTTTCGATTGACGGACGGATTTAAAGAAAGTTGACAACGACTTCGTCCGTTTTCCTCTCCTGTGTCGTTGCCTCTTCGCGCTGAAACCTTCCTTTTTTCTCTTTTTTTTTCTTTTTCTTTTTTTTTTTTCTCGTTTTAAACCGCGTTTGTATGTCTTGCACGCGAACAGTTTAAATGCTGCCTTACACTAGCCACGTAAAGTGTACGTAGCCAACAGAGCCAGAGAAAGGTGCCCCACCGTATTCGATATTAGAGAGGAGCTTCTTGAAGTATTCCGATGGTGGTGGCATCAGGTAGGGAGAAACGGGCCTCCGGGTCCAAGCTTCATTCAATATCGTTCAGTGCATGCCCGATCCTACGGATATCATGTTGCCTAACGCGAATTAGCTGCTCTTGATCAAAGTTAAGCACGTGAAGCCGGTGAAGTGTGATTCCGAACGATCGAGACAAAAAAAAAAAAGCTCAACGAGTAACCGATTCGGACACGCCATGCGCTTCCTTAAACTGGTAATTATATAAAAGATTGTATCTCTTCGACAATATTCCCGGGAGCCGGTGAAACTCCTCGCCGTAGAGGGTCGTATTAATAATGTAAATAACGAATTTCAGAGAACGCGCCCGCTTATACTTTCATCGTAATAACCATGTCTCGTTTTATAGTTACGGGAAACGTTCGACACGGTTCTATCATTTGTAATCAGTCAGCGTATCGCCTTTGGCTACTTAGCAAGGGAAAGTATATCGGATTAGCGACGCGTTTATGTATACGCAGTTAATAGTTCATAACGTAATCTTTCTCTCTTTCTTTTTTTCTTTTTTTTTTTCTTCTAGTAATCCTTTAGTAATCCTCTTTTTTCTTTTTTTTTTCTTTTAGTAATCCGTAATCTTTCTCTCTTTCTTTTTTTTCTTCTTTTTTCTTTTAGAAAATGAATTTCTAATTCTACAAAAATGTTCTAACGAGATACGTTGATGCTCTAATGAGATCGTATCGTGCTTCATCGTTGAATTTACTCAGCGCTTAACACGAAGACCACATAAATAAATTTCATTTCAGCCGCGTACGTATATCAAGTACGTACGAGTTTCTTTTTGTTCGAGGAATATTAAGAAGTCCCTGAAGAGAGTCACCGAATTCTCGAGGTGAAACGCGCACGTCATTGAATCTAAAACCTAAATTTTCTCTCTATGGCCATGTGAAACAAGCGACAAGAATTTCTGTTCTATTCGCACAATTTAAACGCGAGAAACATCCTACGTCTGATACGTGCTGGTAACTCGGCTTCGCCATATCGGGAACACGATCGCAGCTGGGAATCGCTTATCAGGGTAGCAGTAACTGTCTATTCGGCGACGCTAGAATACCAATCGATTGGCCTTTTAAGGTCTTACAGGATGCTTCTTCTCGTTTATTAATCAGGTCACTCGGTTAACCACGTGCGACCAATGTTTCCACAAATGTGTTCCACATTTGTACACAGATATTTCTCATTTAGTTCCCCTTGTTTCCACGCATTCCGATAGAGATTCCTCTTTCCAGGTTGTCGTGATAATAGCGCTCTTCGTCGTTGCGACATTTGCCAAAGATGACTCCTCGAAAAGCCGCGATAAAAGACAACAGGTTGCATTCTATCCGAGGAGAGGAGCCAGACCACCACCCTACGCGGTTCAAATGGAACCAATCGTTCAGTATTCTCAGAGAGATCCGCTTTACAATCCTCTGGCGAGCTCCAAGAGCGACGATTTTTATGAGGAGGGCCCGTTGAATTATTACCCGACGGAACCGGAACCGATCATCGAAATTATCATCAAGGAATCTAATGAATCGTTGCCGACACCGGTACCTCCACCACCTCCGCCGCCTCCGAGGCCTACGAAAGAGCCTGTACAAGTGTTTTATGTGAAATACGAGAAAAAGAAAGGCTACGGAGATAAATCCCGAGTCGTTTACGATCCACCCGTGCCCGCGCTAACACCAGTCGAGGAACATGAGGAGATCAAGCCAGATAACTCAGCGCCTTACCCGGAAGAACCTGTTCACACGGCGACACCAACACCGCCAGAACCTTCTACGACTTTGAGAGCTATCATTCGACCCGATAGTGAAGTGTACCATTCTGGTTCTAGTGGTATTCGCGTCACCTTCGGCACCGAACAAGTACCACCGAACAGTCACAACAAACGTAGCGATTTGGAAGCGCCGCCGACCCAACAACAGACCGCCAAACCAACTTCCACTCCGCCAGGATCTCCCAAACGACAACACGGCCCGTATCAACCGATTCAACCGGTCCATCAAAGAGTGCCACCGGCGTTTCCACAACAGAGAATCGCCAACTCCTTTCCGCAGCAGCAACTCCATCAGCCTCTTCAGCAACAGCCGCCCTTAAATTTCTTGCAGCAACAGCCGTCGTTCCCCCCTCCATCGCAAGGAAGAAGTCCCTTGCAAAGACCTCAATTGAATCGGTTGCCTATAACAATTCAGGGTTTACCGGATGTACAACAACGAGCGCCATTCAATACTTTTGGCACACCTCATCGTGTAAGCATCAACCATCCACAGCAACCGGGATTTCCACCTACGTTATCGGTTTCTCATCAAAATGTACAGATACAGAATCAACCTTTGCCACTGAATCAGGGTAGTCCTTTCAACGTGGAGCAACAACCGCAGCAACCGCCTTTGTCCCCGTACAAACAACAGGAATTAGAAAAACAAAGATATCACGAACAACGTCGTCAACAGGAACTGAATCAGGGAAATCCCTTCAACGTGGAGCAACAACCGCAGCAACCGCCTTTGCCCCCGTACAAGCAACAGGAATTAGAGAAACAAAGATATCACGAGCAACGTCGTCAACAGGAACTATTGAAGCAACGTGAACATCAGAGGCAGCACGAGCAGCAAAGGCTTCAGGAGCATCAACGATTCTTAGAGCAACAGAGGATATTGGATCAGCAGAGACAGCAGGAACAACAGAGACAACAAGATCATCAAAGATTGCAGGAACAACAGAGGATACAGGAACAGCAAAGGATACAAGAACACCAGAGGATACAAGAACAACAGAGGATACAGGAGCAACAAAGGTTACAAGATCATCAGAGGTTGCAGGAACAGCAAAGATTACAAGAGCAGCAGAGATTACACGAGCAACGTAGAAGGAAGCAAGAACAGGAACAGAAATTGTTACAGGAGCAACAGTATCGTTCTCAATTGAAATATAATCAAGCACCACCGATACAACATATACCTCAACTACCAATTTTGCCCCAGATTCAAAAGCCAGCAGGAGAAATTTTCAAAGCTGTACCGAAGCTCGAGCAGCATTACGCAATTCGAGAAAATCCGCTTCACCCTGGCCCTTTTCCACCTAATCCAGCGATCCAGCCAACTGGATTCCCTGAAACGCTACAGAGTCAATACGTTTCCGTTCAACCGCCGAATCCGTCGCCAAATATCTTAAGAAGTTCACCGAGTGAATTCATAAACGATCAACAACAACATGTGAATACGAAGCAGCAAATAATTCAGAGCCAGCAGGAAGGATTTTTCTCGCAAAATCTTCAACAGTCGCAACAACAGCAAAGATATCCGTCGTCTCCTCAACGATCTTCAATCTGGGGACGTCCGTCGTTCTCCGGAAATAACGCGAATCCTTCTCAAAAAATTTATGCGACTCCGGTCAGTCCTGTCGAAGATTTCAATTCAATCTCAACCATCAGACCGTTCGTTTCAAGTACAACTACTACTACCACAACTACAACGACGACCACCACCGAAGCTCCAATAACAACTCTCTCTCCGAAGAAAGAGGCTAAGATTAGAGAAAATATCGCAAATCTTCCGGACGAGGTACCGGATGATATCAGAGAGCAGCTACTGAGTTCTGGTATTTTGGGTAACGCCGACATACAAATACTGGATTACGACAAGGTTGGCGACATACCGATAGAGAAACTACCGCCGGAGGCCCTGGCGAATTTCTACGGTGCCGGAGGCGGTGCCGCGGTAGCTGCCAGCGAACCGGTCCCGTCGGTCGTCAAGAAACCCAAAACGGCAGGGAGCGTATCTTCCTCGACCTCTTCCTCTTCCACTTCTTCGTCGATTTTGGCGAAGAAGACGACTACTGGTAGCACGACTAAGTTCGAACAGGCTACCTTGCGGCCAGGTGGCGTGGAGATGAAAGTAGTACGCTTCGATCCGAATACGGAGCAAGGCCAGGCGCTAGCGGATCAGCACATACGCGACGACGCTACCAGGTTGAATCCTGTAACTGTGGGAGCGAAAGACCAGTCCCAATACAATCGTTATTTACCGCTCAAAGTGAGTGGTGCGTCCTTCCCTATTCCGGACGTGCCGCAACTTAATGGTCGGAAGATCTCCAGTGTGGTTGTATTGGCGCCCGTCGACTATAACTTTCAAGAAGAAAAAGAGATTGAGTCGAGACAAGGTAGGAGGGTCAGCGATGTACAAGCAGTCAAGTTTCTCGCCGGCGATACTCTGAAACAATTGGTGAAGAAGCCAACTGCGGAGAACTATAAGAAGTGGTTGGAACAGGAAAGCCGGACAGAGCCACAGAAACAGTCGGTGGTTTTATTGGTAACCATGTAAGTAACAAACGCGAGTCCGATGCCGTAACTAATCGCGCTTATTTATACAAGTTTGCCTTCGTTAACTCGTCCACTTTCTTTAAACGACACGCGTTATTATTCTTTAACGAGTGATATTCACTGAATCGTCTATCGTAATCTTCCACGATATGTTCTGTTCGATCTGCTTCCGCGAACATCATCCGGTAGTAATGATCGAAATCGCCGAGCTTCACTTTCCTTTGGCTTTCAAAAATATTCATCGACACTGTTACAGGCCGAAAGACGCGAACCAAGGCGAGAAAGAAATCTTCATGTACGATGTGACCTCGCAAACTGTGAGCAAACTGGCTGGAGATTTATCCACAGCGTTTGTAGATGCTGCTGAAAGTAACTCCGACAACACCGACTCCTTCACCGATTCGACTTTTTCATCGTTTTAAATACTACGTGAATGAATAGTATGGCATACCACGATAGAAATTTACGTAAAACAAGATTTAGCGTGCCAAGTCCAAAAGTAACAAACAAAAACCTTCTGTCGTCGCACATATCTTAAGATTACAACGAAACCGGAGTAAAGTTTAAAAAAGGTAAAGGACATAAAAGTATAAGTGTCTTCATAGATACTTTAATTATGTATTATTATGTATATACTGATTTTATACTTTTTTATACAAAATAAACGCAATATTTTTTTACATGTAAAACATTCGCTTCCTTTCAATCGAATATCGTAAGTTCGAATATACGCCGTGCTAGTTTAAATTTCGTTTCAACTTGCAGCGATAATTATGAAGTTGTAGTTAACTCGATTCACTTCAAATTAATTTATACATTTAGAAGTTAGTCAGAACATTAGTGAAATTACACGAGTACAATTTAATTTTATCGCTGTTAATAAAATTATGACATTCATCCTTGTAAATCTGATTTGCATGCAAGTTATAATTAATTGCATTTTGTTTTATAGTGACGTCAACAATAGTTACTTGAATAAAAATAATTTGTGGTAGAGATATGAACTTTTGCAAGAATTAGAAATGAATAAACAGACATATTGGCATTGTTGTAATAATTAGAAAGTTACAATCTAAACGTATTTATATACAAAGGAAATATTGCAAATATATGTAGATATCGCACTATTTTAAGTTTGGTACGCATGATGGCAGTACGTTTTGTGCGATTAAATGAAATAGCTGACATTTTTATTAAAAAAGTGAAGTCTAAAATACATTTCGATATCAACTAAAAAACGTAAGCGTATACACTCTTATATGTGCACATTAACATATTAATACATCAAAACTCAGTGTTTATAACAAATTGTCTTATCACTAGTATAGGTTATATCGTTGTCGTATCGTTTCAAATCAAGATGTTCGAAAACTGATTCACTTCATTGAGAAAATTGCATAAAGACGTAAGAATGTCTAGCAGTAGTTCTGAAAGTAGTGACGAGAACTATCACGAAAAGTCACGGAAAAGACGTAAACACAGGCATCCTAGCCAAGACAGACGATCCGGCAGAAAGGAATCGAGCAGCAAGAATAAAAGTTACAAAGACAAGAGAGAAGGTAGGGACGTTCACAAATTTAGCAGAGACATAAGAAGAGAAAATAATGATGTGCATTGTGATAGATCGCAAGGCGAACGGGATAGATTATATAGGGATAGCCGACATGAGAGGAGGGAAGAGGAGAGGCAATATGATAGAAAAAGATATGAGAGATCGCCTTTAAAAAGAGAAGAATCTCGTCCAAGGCACAGAGATCATGAGGAAAAAATGAGAAAACACAAAGATCCTGCTGAATATAATAAGAGAAATGATAATGTCAACAAAGGAGCAAGGAATAATCTTGAAGAAGTAAAAGTAAAGAAGGAACCGTTTCCAGAATGGGGCAAAGCAACTGTTAAAGCAGAATCTAAACCAAAGCCACAAGAAAAAGAGAAACCAAATTTTGAATTGTCTGGAAAATTGACGGAGGACACAAACACTGTAAATGGCGTGGTTATTAAATACGCAGAACCTGCAGACGCGAGGAAACCTAAACGTAGATGGAGATTGTACCCTTTCAAAGGAGAAAAAGCATTGCCAACTTTGTATATCCACAGACAATCAGCCTATTTAATGGGCAGAGATCGCAAAGTTGCTGATATTCCTTTGGATCATCCTTCATGTTCTAAGCAACACGCAGTTTTACAATATCGTTTAGTATCTTTTCAAAAAGAAGGTGGAGGTGAGGGAAGAAGAATTCGACCTTACCTCATAGACTTGGAATCTGCAAATGGTACATTTGTAAATAACATAAAATTAGAACCACGGAAATACCACGAATTATTGAAAAGGGATGTGATACGTTTTGGATTTAGTTCAAGGGAATATGTTTTATTACATGAACATAGCAAAGACGATTCATTAGATGATGATGTTCCCTCAAGTACTACAAGTACAACTACTCTTGCTACTACTGCATAGGTAACATTTTTCTTAAATATTTTATATTTTCTAAAGTTTACTTACATTTGTATTCTTTTTCAGAATCATATTTAAGAAAAATCATATACATTAACAGTATACAATGTTATTACCCATTAGGACTAGTTGTAGAACTAGTTTATAATTGTCTTTAAGTTGTATTATGAAAAAAATTTAATTCTTATATATAGCATTCACACCATTATAGTATTTATTCTAATAAAAATTTTAATTCATTAATAAAAGAAATATTATTAATATATAAATTTCACATTTCATCTAAATAGGAAGATAAACTGATTGTAATAAATCACTTTTGAAATATACATATATTACAATTTATTCATTCATGTGTCAAAATTTATTTGCCTAGACATATCAGATAATATAGTATAAAGTTTTATAAAAACATGATAAAATAGTATAAACATGTTTTCTTATTACAATGCATTTCATATCCCAGAGTTTGTCATTTGTATCCTTATCATTTTTGTATTACATGCTACCAATTCAAGTGGCTCAAAACAAATGATAAATTTCTCATAATTACATAATTATTGCTATGATTAATAATTTGTAAGAAAGATGAGAGGCTAGTTAGAAAGATAGAATTGCTAGTCCACACGTTAATCTTCTTAATTTAATTTCTTTGCAAATGAAAATTTAATCAAATTATGGACACTGAAATGCTAGCGCCACGTAGCGTTGAAACGATGGAATTAAAATCTACTGCTATCTTTGTCTGATGCTCAATATGCATACCTATCTTTGTCATACATTATTACGCTCTTTCTTCTATAAACTAGACTGCCACATATCGAAGAAAACTAGAACTATTGTGGGAGAAGCAATGTGCTTCTATTGAAATTTTTATTCTTATTTTTATTTTTTTAGTTTCAACCAGAGTTTGAAAGGTGCGTAAATATCATTCGCAGACAAGGAACGCAATAATGTGCGACAAGAACAGAGATGATGATTAGTTCCACAATTTCACCGCTACGCGGTGCTAGCATTTCGAGGTCCATCAATTGACTAAATTCTAATTTATAAAAAAAACTAATTAAGAGGATTTATTTATGATTTTTTCTAACTGTGTCTCTAAAATTAAATTCTCAGCTTTCTTCCTATATTCCATTAGCCTACAAAAAAAAGGAAATAAAAATTTGAGAATTCAATCTAATAAATCAAAGTATTGGCTCAAGTAATGTTTGATTTGCAAACCGATTCGAAATTTGAATCCAAAAGTTGTACGTAATTGAAAGAATAAATTTTATTGTTTTTGTCAATTAACTTGAATATAACTGTTGTGTCCGCTATAGCAAATTGTAGGAAGCATGAAAAGCATATGAACTCCCCATTTACATAATTCGTAATCAATGACCGTATACCTGTTTGTATACCTGAATTTTCCAAACATTTCGCCGATTGCGAATACCGATAGACGTGCGAGGTCGGGTATTTCGACTGTTTTCGAACTGCTGCATTTCCGTGAATTCTTCAAGGAAATCAATCAATTGTGTCACATTACCGTTGTTTAACAAGATTATTATGAGTAAGAATAATTTTAAAGCGCTAAGAGTAAAGAGGGAACGTTCGCCAGAATGGGGTAAACCTACTGACAAAGCAGAGCGTAAACCAAGGCTAGAGGAAAAGGAAAAACCAAATTTTGAATTGTCCGGGAAATTAACAGAAGAGGCGAACACTGTGAATGGCGTGGTTATTAAATATGCTGAACCTGCAGATGCGAGGAAACCAAAACGTAGATGGAGGTTATATCCGTTCAAAGAAGAAAAAGCATTGCCTACTTTGTACGTCCACAGACAGTCGGCTTATTTAATGGGCAGAGATCGCAAGATTGTTGATATTCCCTTAGACCACCCTTCGTGCTCTAAGCAACACGCGGTTTTACAATATCGTTTGGTATCTTTCCAAAAAGAAGGAGGTTGCGAAGGAAGAAGAGTTCGTCCTTACCTTATAGACTTAGAATCTGCAAATGGTACATTTGTAAATAATGTGAAATTAGAACCTAGAAGATATCATGAATTATTAGAAAGAGATGTGATACGGTTTGGATACAGTACTAGAGAATACGTCTTGTTACATGAACATAGCAAAGATGATTCTTTAGATGATTATGCACACTAAGTGTAATTTCTGCTATGCTATTGTACAAGTAATACTGCATTGCATGATATGTCATATTTTTTACTATTCTTGTTTCTGTCAGCAGTTATTTATATATACTTTGTTTCAGGTATATCTTCAAGAAAATTGTATGAATATACATGATATTATAATCTGTTCTGCAGAATATTCAAGAACAGAAATTTATGAAATATACTGATGGAACAAAGTATTAGGCTAATGTGTAATCTTTGTAATACATATCATCTAACAGATTGTAATGAATCATTTTTTAAATATACACAGATTATTATTTAATTATTTACTCAGATTAATTAGACAATTTTATATTTTCTTATGTAATTTTATTACAGCACTTGCATGTCAATATGATCACATATATATAAAATATACAGAATTCATACAATGTATATAGGATTACTTAGAAATATATTTTCCAATACGATAATTAAAAATATTTATAGACTTTGATTCATTTTTACTTAAAAATTATGAAGGGAAGGAAAAGGAAACCATTGTATGAATGAAATATGTTTTTAAAGAGGAAGACTATGATATTTTGCAAAAAATTATGGGATTATTTTTTTCTTATATTTAATAATCAAATATTGAATGCTATTTGTTAATGTACTTATTTTAATTTCTCAATTTTTTACCAATTAATTTTATAAACTGTTTTAATGCGAAAATTGTATGAAAATATGCACCCAGTCTTTGTACTTATTACTACGATCTTACATTTTGTTTACTAATTTTATTGGATGAATATTTACAATATTGTTTTAATACTTTTATAAAAAAGAATGACTGAGATTAAGAAAATAACAAATTTATATTAATAAAATATTTACAAACCTTTTCAAATTTTATTGATTTATAAAATATCAATAAGGGAATTTGAATATACACGTTTAGAAAATTCTCAGTTCAGTCACATGAAGTTTAATATTTGCAAAAATTTATTCTTAATTGTACTGTTTTAAAAAGAATCGCTATATTTATATGTAAAACTTAACAAATCCTTACGTGTAATATGAATATCAATTTCCATACTATGTACTTTGTATTATCGCTAAATATGAAATTTGTACAATGAACGGTGAAAATTTCGTACTTTTGTGTCATTAAATAAATACATTAATTGCAACAACAAGTATAAAACTATCGCAGATTAATCGCCACATAATACTCTATAGCTATTCTCATTTCTTAGATGCAAAACAACAAGTATGATTATCAACTAAAATCTTTTTCTGCCACGGTTCATGTGAAAGTTTCAAATATTAAAACTTAAATATGTACATATGTAAATATGGCAGTTCAAAGCTATGGAACTTTACACTCATTCCCAGTTTCAATACCGAGTTATTACTGAAATTACGATTCTGTTATTGTAACGTGATTCATCAAATAATTCATCATCAATCCATCACACCTTTAACTTCACGATCCATTTACTCTCACAGCATCCGTATTGATATTCGTATACGTGACTATATTGTTACTATCTTCGACAACCGGAGTTTGCCTTAATAAGTTCAATAATGCACTGTTTATCACCAAAGGTATATTAGCTGTACCATTTTGCAAACTGGTATGAGTCCTTTGAATTTTTGGTAATGCATTCTTCATAACGTTATTATCGATTGATTCGCTGGTTCCTCCAATAACGCTGTTCTTTAACGGAAGAACATTTTGTGAACTAATTAATGATGAACTAGGTCGAGTAGGCGGAGCTAAACTAATATTCGAGCTTAAAGAACTAGAACTTCTACCTTCTAAACTTAATTCAGATCCTCGTCGTTCAGTCACGTTCCTTTTATTCTTCCTCTGATCAATCAACGATGTAAATGAGTCTGTTTTCAAAATTGCTTTAATAGTAGGATTAGTTAATTTCGAACTATCTAAAGTGTTACATTTTTCAATCATACTCGTGATCGATGCTCTTTTACGTTTTGGTAAATTCAAACTAGATATCGACGATCTCTTATCACATTTTCTTTCCTGTTCTTTAGCATCTGCCAGAACGTCTTTTTGTTCGTCAGAATGCAAATTGTTCTTTACATCTATATTTGTACTAGCTTTATTTGTATTGGTTAAATTTTGATCAGAGATATGAATCGATCGAGGCACTTCGTATCCGTTTGTCGAATTTTGCCTTAGAATAATATCCTCGTTATCCGCTAATATTTCTAAATATTTCGGTACTTCATTCGACTGTGATATCGCATTGTGGGAATTCTGTAGGAACGGTTGCATATCTCGACTGCCTTCTGAACTACTGGATTTCCATGAATTCCCTGAGAAATCAACCAATTGCATTACAGTTCACAACTTAATTTCACTTAGTTGATAATTATAATTAATTATTTAATAATTATATCACGAATTTGAATGGAAAGGAAAGAAACATTGATCGAGAAAGCAGCGTACATAAATGATCTTCACCTACCTGAATGAAAACCTACCTGAGTGATTATGATTTTGGTTCTCGTCAGCAAAGTAAGCCATGTTAGAGACGCCTGCAAGCATGAGCCATGCAATGATAAATATGTATCGAAGCAAATTATTAAATTTATATATTGAACACATTTATGGCGATGCATCTTGCTGGTTTGAATTGTAATTATCGAATGTGATCACATTTGAAACAAATACGAATATGACAATAAACTGATAATAATTCTATTAGTTGATAAAGCAGCTATTAAGCTTTATTAGCTTATAAGTTTAGAAATTAAATTTTACCATAGGTTGTAAGAATATATGACTGTATATGTAAGCAATAGAGAGAGTTTTAGTCATAAATGATTTTATCTTATCCCTAAAACTACAATAAGAATTATCCTAATGAGCTAAGATGTATTTGCTGACGATTAATAATTGGCAATTAATACATTTGAGAAAATGTAGATTTATGTTTCATGCCAAAGATTCACATAATGCAAATATTAATATCTATATGATTGAAACTTACCTCTTCTAGCTAAATAATGATCAGCATGAACCGGGTTCAATTGTGCATCCTCTATAGTACTTCGAAGACTAACTATATTTTCAAGACAAAGTTTAAAGCTCGGTCTGGCATCAGCAACACTCCAACAGCGCAACATAAGTTGATGTAAAGCAGATGGACAGTTCAAAGGTTTCGGTAATCGTCCACCTGCTCGTACGTGATGTAACACTTCGATATTTGTTCTGGCAGGATACGGTTGTTGTCCCAAGGATGTAATTTCCCACATTAACACTCCGAATGCCCAGACATCACTCTGTGAAGTGAATACACCATCCACTAATGATTCAGGAGCCATCCATCGAACAGGAAGTAATCCTTCTCCCTCCTATGATCAAAAATTGAATATTTGATTTTATTCTTACATCACGACAATTGTTATTATACTAGAATTAGAAAAATACTCACTTTCCGATAGTAATCGTTCTTATATATATCTCTTGCCAATCCAAAGTCACCAATCTTGACAACACGATTCTCTCGATCTCTGGCAGATACCAAACAGTTTCTACATGCGAGATCTCTATGTACAAAATGTAGCTCCTCTAAATAACGGCATCCCCTTGCTACATCCTCGCACATAGCAAGCAAATCCTGCAGACGTAGCGCGTGTGGATCGGATGGATACAAAGATCGACTCGCCCTTAAATAACTCAGTAAATCTGCTTCCATTAGTTCCAGTACCAGTAACGGTGGATCCGTATCCAAACACACTCCCAAAAGTCTTAATACGTGCTTGTGTCGAAAATGACTCATAAGTCTAGCTTCCTGAAGAAACTCTGCCTTTTCCTGCGCCGAAGCTCCCTTTCGAAGCGTTTTGATTGCGACTGGGGTAATTCCTGGTCTCTCCAAATCCTTCGCGTTCCCTTGAAATACCTGAAAAATTTCGATACATATAATAACAACATAGCTCCATAATTACTGCGATATTCTTATTTATGCCGCTTACTTCTCCAAAGGCCCCGCTACCCAAAAATTTCGCTAACGTGATCTGTTCCCTTCTGATCTTAGGAAGCATAGAATCGTCCGGATCGTTTTGCAAGGTAGACGCGTACAGCGCGTTAGATTGAACGAAATTGCCGCGTGGTATCTCCCGTAGTGTCGCCAACTCAACGTCGCTCACTAAGGGAGGTAAAATCGCCTTTTTATCTTCTTTGCGTTGCCGATACACTGCTGAATTACAAAACTTATCCTTTACACTTCTGTTAACTCCGCTTGAAGCGTGCTTATTTGAACAAGGATTATTTTAATCATTAAAAACGTACGCTTTATTTATAATCATCATACACTTACGGCAAAGGAAATAACAGAAGCAAATGAGCATAATAGTGATAACAGGAACGCTAAGTCCCAACACTAAACCAAGATGTTGTTGTGCCGCTAATATTCCACCGTTAGCTTCCGTTAAATCAATGATTGGACTGGATCTGCTCCAGCTACCGAAACCGTACGCATTTTCAGCTTGAACACGAAATCGATACTTGTCGCTCATATCTCCTGTGATTATCCAATAATTGTCCGTTCCATTGTAATATAATTTCCAGCTTGTGTTCCCAGTAGTGTCTATTTGCTCGTTAATTTCATTGATCTTCATTCCTTCAACACGGTACAACGTGATTTGTGAACCGTGGGCTTCTGCCGGTTCCCAATTCAACTGGTACACGGAATTACGAAGTTTCGTTAGTGTTGGCATACCTGGAGAGCTTGGTATATCACCTGTTTTAGAAATAGTATGAAATAAATAATTCTAAAGAATAATTCTTTAAAAAATCGAGTTAAAATTGAAAACATTTTCAGAATGTATTACCTGATGTTTGAAACGTAAATCTCCCATCTGTTGGCCATACGTAGTCTTTTTTATAATTCGGATATCTCAAAAGCAGACGAAATTTGTACAAAGTTCGTGGTTGTAGTTCCCTAATAAAATACGTCACTTTGTCCTTGTTCACCTTAAATTCGTTCGCCGCTTGCCAATCGTTCACAGCAACATCCGTATACTCTAATGTATATTTGACCATTAAATCGACTGTTGGTACCCAGGATACATTTAAACTATTCACGCTAAATCCAGTTAACGTCAAATTATTAGGTTCTGGGTACATCTTGACTACGTGTCCAGGACTTTCACTATAAACATCATTAACGTGGGCGGGATAAGCACGGACGAATACTAGATACTCCTGATTAGGTAACCATGGCTCCAATATAGTGAAGAATCTTCCATCAGTTGTGCGCTCGGTACTCTTTATAAATTGTTCTCCCTTCTGTCGCGCTCCATTTATTAATCTAAACAATCTCCAGTGCACCTCATATCGTACAGCGGCAGCGTTTAATATTTTCGGTGGCGTCCAGTAGACAATAGCTAAAGTTGGTGTCAGTGCCTCGACGGTTACGTTTTCTGGAGCTGTAGGAGTGCCAGCTTCAGTTCGCAGCACAACATCAGAACCAAACTCTAAATTCATCGACTCTAAATCAGCGTAATAGTTGCTCAACGCTAGTTTCAATCTGTATTTCGTGAAAGGCTTCAAATTCTTAATTTCATATTTTTTCTCGTAAGTCTGTAACTTGGTCCTGTCGCTGTTTTCGCACATGTTAGGATCATTTTCTATACACTGAGATACATATATCGTGTAAAGTGTCGTTGGTAAGCTGTATTCTTCGCAACCGAATTGCGGAACCGGCTCAGGAAGCTTTACAGTAATAGTGTTTGCTGTTTTTCTGATTTCTTCCACATTGTAGGAGGCTTGACGAGGGATCAAACAGTTTGCAATCGGATAATTTTGTAAAGATTTCCCGAGGGCTTTGATACTGCGTACAGATGGCAAATAGAAGTGCTTGATCTTCTCACCATCGGGATGCTTCTTATTTACAAAGTAAATCTGATCCTCCGGGATGTTAGACCAATAAATGTTCATCTTATCAACGGTCAATGATTTTGGCGGTAGTCCTTTGTTGAAGCCCGCGCTTACTATCAAATTGCACCTACAACCGTCGATATCAGCACTATGTAAATGACCTTCTAAGGAAACCCAATACATGACTGGTTTTTGATTCGAATTGGTGCTGTCGATCGTCATCACAGGAAACACAGATGATCTGTAAGGGCAGGAACAATCGTCTATATGATTGAAGAATGGTTGAACATCATTCCCGTCTAAATTCGACTTCATTATTACTCCGCCATCTTTTCTAGTTTGTTCTATCCAATACAACGATCTGTAAAAAATTAAGTCAGATTATTATAAAATAAATTTAATATCTATATCTATAAATCTTTTTCATATATATTTCATTTATATTATATAAATATATAAGAGAAAAGATACTGTAAAAATGATAGATACCCTGTAGACGGTAAGATATCAAGATTCACGATACGTCTGCTCGTATTAACGATGTTCTTGTATTTCAGATTTCTAGCTTGCCACATGGTCAAGTCCAACTTCATAATACATCCACCGTTTTCTCGATAGCTTGATTCAGACCAATAAAGATGCCTCGCGACCCAGTCGACAGTTATACTAAATGCACTGTTATTTAATGTCAATATTTTGGTAGCATTTGCTCCATTCATATCCGACGTTACCAGCTCCTGCATCTCGTTGATCCAGTAAATTTTGCTTTCCGCTGCCAGATACGTCACTTCAACCGCGATGTGACGAGTAATAGTATAGTTCACTTCCTGATCCAAATCGGATATTCGAACCGCATCCATTGTGGCGACCAGCAATTGTGGTACCGGATTTTCGTGCGTCGTCGAAACGTTGGTCACGTCGGTGTACGGTCCAGCGCCAACTTCTGTGTGAGCTCGAACTTGAAAATAATACGTCGTATTTGGCAAGAGATCTTGAACAGTGTGTTCTAACGACATAGATGGAATAAGCGACTGATTGCAGATTTGTATCTCGACGTTGTTTTCCTTAAACCAACACTGAACCGTGTATCCGGTGATCAAACCATTTGCGAACTCGGGTTGGTCCCATCTGTAAAAGAAATCGTTAATCATTCTAAATGTGTGAATTTAATGATTGAAAGGCAAGAGTAACAAACTCCTTTATACGGTACGATATTGTACCTAAATATCGCAAATATATCGATGTTTTCGCTCAGAGGTTCTTTATGAAATTCTATAAAGGCTCTAGTATTCGTTGGCTGAGTGGGAACACTTTGTGGCGACCTCAATATCTTCCTCGTATGGTGCGCTGTTTCCCAATACGTGAAGGCTTTCACAGTCACTTCCAAAACCGAGTAAGGCAAAATCTGTTCGGAATTATTGTACGACATCGAGGTTTCCGTCGTTATCTCCGGATTCGAATTGGTATTGATGTAATCAGCGAATTTCACTTCGTAAAAGACAATTCCATAATTGATATTCTTCACTGGATCCCAGGATATGTTGAAATTCCTCCATGTTCCTTCTATTCTAATACTGTTATAACTGACCGCATTAGGTAGTACAACTACAGTCTCTGACGTAAGATTCTTTGGGTATTGATGAAGCGCCGGATCCATGACGGCCACCATGTTAAGGCCCAACAAAGTGATACCATTTATTATGGCCGTATTTTGACCAGACAAATCGCCTATCACTGCATTTCGATTGTCTTGAAGCCACAGAAGATGCTCTGAGAAGTAACACAAAGGGCCTTGCATGTTTGGATGTTGCAGAGCTGAGACCTTAAAAAAAATATCAAAAAACAGAATTAATAATTCCATTGCTATCACTAGTATTAATATTATAAAAAAAAAAAGAAACATTAGTAGAAACCTTCTCAGGCACGATTTTTTGACTCATCGAAATCCTTTCGGATGTAGGTGCTCGATAGACGATAGATCCACTTTCGTAGCTTCGTACAATCCAATAAACATATCTGTTTTCCGTGTCTAATGTCAATCCCATCACTTGTTTTCCATTAAATATTTCATCCGAATGATAGTATCTTCTGTCTTGTCCATTTAAACGGGCTACTTCGACCGCGTGACCTGTGGACCAATACAGATACGCTTCCAAAGAATCGATTATTAATTCTTTAACAATGGCCAAAATCGACATTGGCTCTTGGTGAGATCCATTCAAATTTGCTCTTGTTATCTGCAAAAAAAAAAATATATATATATAAATATATATAATAAAAAATATATATACATAAGTAGGAAAATGTAGTTAAAAATTTTTAAAGTAAATAGGATCGATTAAAAATACAAAGAATGTTTATTCACAATTTGTTGCTTCGGATTAGCCCAATACAATTTTTTCGATATCCAATCGACAGCAATACTCCCAACAGAGTGAATATTCATTTTCGTCTTTTGGTGACTCGTAATGTTGTATCGGTATAATGCAGAATTGTTTCCAACGATGTACAGAACATCCTTGTACCAGCTAACGTCAACGATATGATAATCAACTTCTATTTCTTTCAAGCTTGCTTTGTAGATCAGAGTATCAATGTTCTCTCCAGTTACGTCGCTTTTTAGGAGGCCTTCGTTTGCGGACCACAATATCGATGCGTGTGATCCGTGTCTAGAAAGTTAATTAAATGTTGAATTGCAACACCTAGGAAACTTTCAATTTCTCATAAATATATGAACGTTCATAATCTAATCATAATTTACCTCAACGTTCGACCCCTGAATTCGGTGGACCAAGGTCCTCTACCAGCGCTCGTGTAAGCCGCTGCCTTAATCGAGTACTCCGATTTCTCTTGGAGATTGTGCACGGTATGAGACGAGCCAGAGATATCTTTCTGATGGATCGTCTCTCCAGTAGATTCATCTTTAATCTCCAGTTCGTAAGACCAATTCTGCCAGGCACCTTTCCCCTGACCGCCCAGTAGATGAGGCGCCTGCCAAGAAACTTTCGCTCTCTCCATACCAAGGACAGCTTGCACTCCAGTAGGAGGATTCACAGGGACAGGAACGGGCTGGCTCGCGTCCATAAGTACATTCACACTGACAAATGAACCGTTCGATCTAAGAAAAAAAAAAAAAAAGAGACGAGTTTGTTGAAGCACCTGTCTATCGACGTTCACGCTGCTCGAGTAAGAACGAACATTCTCACCTGTCGGGATAAGCATTATGAAAATATCTGTTTTGTCCCAAATGATATCCTTCGATCAGCACTTCTTCCCCGTTTGTCCAATAAAACAAATCGTTCACCATAGCCAAGGAAACTACATTTTTAAATTTCGGTTGCTGCGTGTTGGCACGAAGATCTATAACTTCGCGACCATCCAGAGAAACGGATATTACGGTGTTCTGGATGTGGTGAGGCACTAGCAGGCGAAAGTTCGTGTGATCAACGGTGAACGCTCCTAAGTTAACATCTTCTAAAATTAAATATGGCTGAACCTGTAAAAATTGAACTAAAATTATCGAGGCTTTAACTTTGATTTGATAATGTAAATTTAGATGTGTCGCAGTATTTTTCCTGTTGTTGGATCAAAGCAACAAGCAATAATTTATAATTTTTTCCCTCGCTTGGCATATCAAGTGTCGTTCCTTAAATTCGAAACCGTACCTCGTGCTTCACTCCGTTGCTTATGTCGGCCAGATCCAATCGGTACAAACCGCCCCTGGTCACCCAGAATAAGTAACCGTTGTACGGATCTACCTCGATGTGCGTGGGCCGCGTTAAAAACCCAGCCACGGCCACTGTCAGACCTCTTCCGTCCAGATTGCATCTAGCTATCTGCCAGACCGTCGTCGCGTGTTTCACTTCGCCCAGAATGTACAAGTGAAGGTTCAGCCAATCCACCGACAAGCTCAGAGGCTTGAAGTTCACCTGACTTGGACTAAGTATCACCGTCGGTTTCGTTCGTTTTGTGATGGACGTTCTATACACGTATCCCAAGGAATCGGAAATGAACAATTGGGCGGAAGCCACGTGAATCGCGATTCCCCGAATCGTGCTTGTATTTTCGTAAACCACGCTGGGATCGTCCAGCATATCCGCATCTTGTTTCATAACAACGTGCTGGCCTCCAAGGATTAAAATGGGTTGTTGCGTGTCCTTCACTGCAATACCAAATGGATCACGTTAACGTTCGCATTTCCTCGGTACAATCGTTTCGGGGAAATTGTTGAAATTTTAATTTTCACCGCGTTGAAACGTACCAGCCGGCTCTGGAGTAGTCGTGACGTAAGTTACTGCAGTTGGTCCCTCTCCAACTCCGTTCCTCATGGTCACGCTAATGGAATAATTTTTATTCGGCTTGAGATTTTGAAACATGTAGTGGTCCGTATTCTCCGAGGCTGGTATATCCTGTAGATTGATTGTAAAATGTATACGATTGGACCGTTAGAGGATCTATCTCTTTCGAACCTTCGCTGAGTAACCGAGAGTAGGCGAATAGGAAAGAAACGCCATGCCAGAAACGTGTTTCATGAGATTCTGGTTCTTACAAGCTCACGGACTGATGTTAACTGGATCAAAGGTGAATTAATAGGTAATGTACAGGTCATTTGAAATCGCGAACGTGGTATTTCAAAGCTAGTTTATTAGCGTTATTCGTGCCAGCAAACAGAATTGCTTTTCAAACAGTCGTGAAAAAAAAAAAAAATCAAAAGAGAAAATCGTGCATCTGTACCAAACATGCTTGTCCTTTTCGTAACTTGAGGAAAGAGGTAGACAGCGTTGTAGAACCAGTTGCTATTTCACACAGTGCTGTTCAACTACAAATAGTTTTAGAGAGATGGAGAAAATAGATAAAGCGCCGACAAACAGTGACGGTAGAGTTTAGAGAAGATAGCCGAGGCTCTGGAAACATATTCGTGTAGAACGAAGATATACATATATGTATCTCAACGTGAAGTAAAAGTAGCTGCACGCGAGTACGCTATTTAGAAGAAAAGGAAACAAATTGTCGATCATTATTGAAATTCTGGCGTGGCGTATACCTTAAGCTGGGAGTGATCAGCCCCTTGCAGTCGCAGGACATAAGACAAAAGTGGCCCATTCGGGAAAGGGCCCGGTTCCCAAGACACAGAGGCGCGGCAGCTGTCTACCGCTACCGCTCTTACAATTACCGGTGCTGAGGTTGGTAAACCAGCCGCCAGTGTTCGTATCACGACGCTCGGAGCGGAGACGATTAGCTCCGGATTGTGCTGCGTCGATTTTAACAGTAATGCTACGCGAAACTGCAACCAAAATGGTAAATGATAGTGTTGTTGTAAAACTTCAACGTAAAGGGGCACTAACGGGGTTAAGCGAGTGACAAAGCTTACCCTATATTTTGTGTAAGGCTGTAAATTCTCGACCAAAATCTGGTCATTCTCTGCCCACGATTGATTCCTACAGTACTGCCAGGTTTCAGCCAGTTCCTCGTACTTCCATTGCACTAAGTACGAGAGGCCTCCGCCGCGTCTTTCGATGTCTATTCCTTTCCATTCGAGTCGTAGGGATGTTGCGGTCAGCGAGTCCGCGACCAAAGCTGGCGCCGGCGGAATACCTATTTCCGCTGATGATGAATATTAATAAATATTAGTGCAAGATTCCTTATAGTCGAGGAGAATCATTTGGTTGTAAATGAGCTGCGAAATTTCATACAAATTACAAAAAAAAAAAAAAAAATATACAGAATATACGAAAATCCGATCTCCTAATTCATAGATGAAACAATTTTTTTGTTCTGATCCTACTTTTTTAATTTTATTTAATTAAATTCTTTCCTTTTTCTTTTATCATATTCGTACATATCGTATAATTTCAATTATATTCGCATAAATGTCCGTAGTCCAATCATGAGAATCACGTGCAAAATCGACAAAATCTGCCGATCGCGGAGGCAACGTTGCGAAAGCTATCCTACACTCGCCTAACGTCAACCGTATGGCGAAACTACCATAACCGCGATTATTTATCCTGCCAGAAACGTTTTCGCATACGAGAAATTGGAATAATTTCTAATATTAAGTTGTGTCGAAGCGATGAATCAGGAACAACAGCTAGCGTTCTCAGAATACGGGAAGATACTGGACGAGCTGAAATTGATGTTCATGGAGAAGTGGAAGAGTGACAAACGCGACAATATTACAATAAACGATTTCGAACGATTCCGGACCATCGGTACTGGAGCGTTCGGCCGTGTCATACTCGTCAGACATAAACCAACGGCCACGTTTTATGCCATGAAGATCCTGGATAAAGCGAAGCTCATAAAGTTGAAGCAGGTAGACCACACGTACAACGAGAAGAGGATATTACAGTGCGTGAGGTTCCCTTTTATCATCTACATGGAATACTGTTTCAAGGACAATTCGTACGTGTACATGGTACTGCCGTATATCAACGGTGGCGAAATGTTCACGCATCTAAGACGAATGGGAAAATTCGACGAGTCTTTGGCGCGTTTCTACGCTGCCCAGGTCGCACTCGCGTTGGAATACCTTCACCATTGCAGCCTCGTTTATAGAGATTTGAAGCCAGAGAATATTTTAATCCAGAATACCGGCTACCTCCGAGTGATAGATTTCGGGTTCTGCAAGATGATCGACGGTAGAACCTGGACCTTGTGCGGCACTCCTGAATATCTCGCGCCGGAAGTAATCTTGTCGAAAGGCTACGGCAAGTCTGTCGATTGGTGGAGTTTCGGTGTTTTAATTTACGAGATGAACGCTGGTTATCCGCCGTTTTACGCGCGAGACCCAATGAAAATATACGAGAAGATCGTCTCTGGTAAATACAAGTTTGCCCATCATTTTGGCGAAGAGTTGAAAGATATTTTGAAGAATATACTGCAAGTGGATCTGACTAGGAGGTACGGGAATTTGAAGGGTGGTTCCACGGACATAAAAGCGCATAGATGGTTCCAGTCGACCGACTGGAACCAGATATATCATCAGAAAATACAACCTAGTTTCATACCGAAGTGCCCGACGCCGGAGGACACGAGCAATTTCGATGTCTACGACGAAGAACCATTAAAAATATCCACGGCGGACCGTTACGCCAAAGAATTTGAAAACTTTTAATCGAACTGATTGCGAAACACCGTTAATTTAACGGCGAGGCATATCTTTGGAGATACAAGGATGAAGAATGTATGCTACTACAATGGAAGTGCATCACGCGAAACAACTTAAACGAGCATTTGGTGTATCCGTCTTCGTCTTTGAACAGAGTTTGCATATTACCTTTTAGCTGTTGAAAGTAACGATTCAACGCATCGTGACAACCCAAAACACAGTACAACTCTTTGGGTGGTAGCAATTCTTGCGTTCCGTTCTACAAACCAATACAACTGATGTTAGATTTCGATGAAATGTTGCGCTCGGTGTAATGTTAAATGAAAGGAAATAACGGCATTAGACATTTAACATTAGAACTAGAAATAGTAATAATTTAATATGTACTAACGCAGACGGTTTGACAGCTTGCGTCGAGTGCCTGTTGCCACGCTCCACAGCCTTTTGTGCACTGAAACAAACAGAAAACGTATGTACGCTGACACTACGTTACATAATACTTGTTATATGTCTGATTGTATGCTACCCTATTTCTGATGGTACAAAATATATTACAGTTAAACAAGCTTTATTAGCTTCGATTTGACAATTTATAAAACATTCGGTATCATATGCAGACTTACTTAATGTCGTCTATCAGTCAACAAAATGCAAATGCAGTATTGAAAATTTCATTGCTATTCTACTTTACTGAAACTTGTGTTTAAAAGTTGGCAGGTATCCCGTGATTTATAGACAGGGACGTATGAACTACGTAGCTGAAACTCCATTTTATCATCAATAACCAAGTCCAACACGTTCGTTTAAATTAGCATAATCCATTTGAGGTTCAAGCAACACGGGCTCGTTTTGTTCTTAATGACTACCTCGAGTCGATTCCTCGAACGAAGGAGATGATCGAGTCGAGATGATCAATCGCGATGAAGAGACGAGGCACGCTGCGTCATTTTGGCATTGAAGTAACTGGAACGTCTGTGAAGTTATATTCGAAAGATGGACATAAGTACGAGGCACGTGCCTCAAGTAACGCCTACGTTCATAAGAACCGGCTGGTTGGTTCGTGCCGAGCATGGATTTGCGAACCGAAGTTTAACGCATTAACTTTCTGCACGAGAGGATGTGGGCATTTGTCGGCGACAACAAGCCAGTCGAACTAAGAAGAAGAAGAAGAAGAAGAAAAAGAAGACAAGGAAGAGAATAAACGAGAACATGCGCGTCTATGTTTGTTTGCGATCGTTTGCAATTACATAGAACTTTTGCATTCGAGACGCCTGATATGATCCTTCAACCTAATCTTTTTCCCCTTTGCCGATAAACGTACCATAAGATCAGCAATGTTATCGTTCAGAAAATTGCGTTATTGCTCTGGTTATTAATCGATCTTACTTCAGCGAGTAAAAATTGCAATCATTTTGTTGTTACGCATTTCGATTCGGATAGACGATCGTCTCAGTCAAAATGTTCGATTGCCTTGGAAAGACATTGAAAATCATTAAATCGTCACTGAGGAATTAAAAAAAATAAATTCGACGGTCAAACGAACGAACCGAAATACATATGTACACGTACGTCTAGAACAATATTTTCGAGAACATCTTGAAAGAACGCGTGTGCGTTTCACATTGGTGAAACGTAAATACACAAGAGCGATGTACCGCGCTCGATGACTTCAAGGACTTGACGAAGAGTAAGTTTGTAATAACTATGTCCAGACTAGAAGACTTTCGTCGTTGTAGGTATGTAACATGTCTCTCCTTTTTCAAGTATCACCCTCCGGTGGCATCTGCATACTCCAACCGCGTTTCCTGTTCCAGTTTCTAATTTCATTCGCTAACAGGCGATAATAATTGACGTTAAATCTCGTCCTTGGTGAAAATCGAGAGGTTGATTAAGATGGTTTTTGTCGCGATAGTTGTGTAGTGTGATAGAGGGTTCGTGGACAGCAGTGCCTAGTAAAATCATTATTTCAACACCGTATCCCGAGATACAAGAGAGTCATTTACCAATTGTCAGGCTGATCGACACTCTGCCGCGTTGGAGAGGCGCCGCACATGAATGATAGCCCTCTCGACATTTTAGAGTAATAACTTCGTCATGGATAGACTTAATTCGACCGCATTAGCCGTGCACCTGTATTAGCCACAAGTTTTTAAGCTTCGAGGCAAATACCTCTCTTATAATACATATTTGCTTTTCATTTTGGAAAAAAGAATTTATCTCTCTCTCTCTCTCTCTCTCTCTCTCTCTCTCTCTCTCTCTCTCTATCGTTCGCAAAAGGGGAACAGTGATTAAAAATGCTGATTATAAATCTAGTTTCACGCGTTTGCTCAATAATTATTTTATACGAATGCGGTAGTATTGGAGGGTATCGCATAGGTCAACTGATTTGAAAAAGAAGGAAAGGGACGTCCGACGCTAGATAAATAAGTTATTAATAAACATTCGGTAACGATTTTACGATTTTGAAATGTTTCAAGCAAGCGCGACAACCGTACAACTTCTTACAATAATGAGTAAGCAAGTGAACACATATCTTGGCAATGTACGATAGTTAAAACGACCACTCTAACAACCCTAGACGTTGATAATTTTTAATGTCTTAATTAATCACATTTCTTATAAATCTTCCATCACTTTTACCCATATCAACCATGGCCTCTCTTTTTCAATTAGTTCGTACGAAACATCAACGTCCCTTTCGACTCGTTCTCCGATTCCAGTTGATGATCCACGCTCGAATTCGGCTTCACCTTGTTAAATGGTCGTAATTTTCTTCGGTTTTTTTCGTGGCCAGGCCGTAAATAGGGGTTGACAAAACTATCACACAGTGCAAAACAGCTGAAGCACAGCGATTCGACGTTGCGCCCGCTAATTTCTCACTTCCTCATTAAAACCTCAACACACATTACGCCCCAGCCTGGTCCCCGCTCTACTCGACTCCCCGTAGATCGTAGATCTTCATCCTACCACGAATGAGGATCTATCCGTTCTCTCCTCGTTTCGCTTGAATCCCGTTCACTGATTGTGTTCTACGCTCAACACACACGACGCACGAAACGCGAACGATAAGAAAGGATGTTCAAACGTATGCTTCTACGAACTAGACTTTGAAGTCTATTAATTTTCTGGTTTCGAAAGTGGACGCGGAGAGTCCTTAGGCTGTTTCGGCTGTTTATTAGTAAATATATCAGAGTCGAAGAAAGATCTAGGAAATCCAGTTTGTAAAAGAGTATCGAATACGGTAGCTTCTGGTTGGCAATGTCAAGCATACGGGATTTGTCGCAGAGATTTTCAGTATTGGTGTGGTGTCTGCCACTTTACAAACACACTTGAACGAGCAAAGCCAGAGTGCCAGATTCACTTTAAACGAAGAAGCTCGAGAATCTTCTGCATACATTTCCTCTCGCTTACGCAATCGAGACAGTAACCGTACGATTACTCTGGACAAATTTTCTATAATTACATAGATTTTTCGTGCGCGTATGTACGCGTGTATGTTTGATACAAAAGAAATTCCAAAGTTATCGGTTCAGCGTCATCGAGCCGTGAAATTACCGGAAGAAAGAGCACCGTAGCCGAACCAGGCTTGCACGAAGCCTGCTCAATCAAGTTTACAGGCGAAAAATGTACGTTGCGCGTAATTCGTTACGTTCAGTCTCGTTTATAAAGTCACGAAAGAAACGAAACGAGGAGCGAGCGTTAAACGGGGCAGAGCTTAGTGACGGACCACCGGGCTAAAATAGACAGATTAACGGAGGAAGGCAATTAGGGTTGCGTTTAGCAAAAAGTAGAGCATCTTCCTTTTGAATCGTGTCGGCCGCGAGCTAACCGTTATTCGTGCGCGTTACTGGAACGTACGAACCGTGAAACGAGGCGGGGGAGGAAATCGTTTCGAGCGCCTCGATTCACGTACCGACCCGTGGTATTCGAGGCTTTTTAGCCAGCACGCAGCCTCGTGCCACAAAGTTGTTTAAAAAACGCACGCGATCGGCCACGGTGCACGTATGTACGAAATATAAATACAATCTCAATTGATGACAGTGAATAGGAAGAGAAGAAAAGGCTATAACTTAATGGCCACGTTCCTCTTTATCCCTTTTTTTTTTTCGGCGGCACGTGATAATTAAGTGTATCGCGGGGCCTTTTGTCCTTTACGTCGCATTAATTGCGGTTCTCGTTCCCTACCCTGGAGACACGCGTTGTTGAATATCCTTCCGGCCACGATCCGGGGATCCTTTCTCCGTTTTGTCTCTTGTCCCTTTGGCTTTCTCTTTGTACTCTTTGGAACGTGCTAACGATCCTCCCTGAACTTAAAGTTTCGTTCCCTTTTTTTTTTTTACTTAAACTTACACACTTAATTTGATTTCTTCTCAACTTCTCGGCAAGAATGAATTTCAACGCGAAATGCCAAAACGCGAACTTTTTTTTTTTTTATAGCCGGATAATAACGAAAGCGATTTTTCGTCGCTTTCTCTGCTGTCACTTCCGTAACGGAGTGAAACACGGGAGAAAGAGAGGGCCAGAGGAGCGGAAAGAGACGAGCAAACAGAGAGAGCGAATCCGGAGTCACACGGCAATTTGGCGACATCCGCCATAGGCCGCACTTGTACGCGATCCAATTTAAAGTCACGAAGCCGTACGAGCCCGGCCATTCTTTCATTCGTACGCGTAATACGTGTACACGTTTATCCATTCACTGCCTTTGGCCACGCTGGTAACGTTACGTCCGAATAGCAGAGCAACAGCCTACCAGACGGAGAGAGCAAGGGAGACGAAGGACCTGACTTTGTTTTTATTTGCCGTTTACCGTCTCTTTACCAGCGAGCCAGTACAACAGGCACCCCGGGGACGGCAGCGGAAGTACTTTCATTGTGCCAGGGGGCCGGCGTCCCTTTATTTTCGTCTCCAATGTTCGTCTATGTTAATAAACGTTCGACGATGCTCCCCGACGAACTTTAAATTTACGCTGCCACCGACGCGAGAATTATCCCCGCCTAAAAGAAGCTAACACGTATAAGAAAAGTTACGAAGGCTTGAACCTCTCACGAACAGTTGGAATTAAGACTGTCCTATTTTAAAATCGTAAGATTGAATCGATTTATAGAGCTGTGTGGTGCGTAAAAAAAGAAAAAAAGAGAGAAGGAAGGAAAATATTTTCATTTTCACTTACCTGGTCGATCTTGCATCGTATGCCGCAACCCACCTCCGAGCTCGAGTCGTCCGTTCGATTCTGAAAGAGAAACGAATAAGAGAAGTTTACTCGATGATTAATTTTTTTTAATTTTCCAAGATACGTCAGACGTATTTTGTAATTATGAAAGGCAACGTTCTCGTATAATAATTCCCAACAGTTAATTTACAACAGTTGTTGACAGATTGCGATCTAGAACCAATGCGCCACGCAATGATTTAAATTCATGAAACGAACAGGTGATATTTTTGAATAAATATACGATCGTTCGGGCAATTAAGTATGCACAGGGACCAGTCGACTTCTGCAAATTCCCATAGTGGCACGCATGGCTTCACACCCTTGTTATCGGCACTGGAATTATTCACCACCCTTGATCTAGTCGGTTCGACGAACTTCGGTTCCACCCTTCTTTTCTCGCTCTTTTTTTAACAATTTACTTTCGTTTCCATTAAAAACCGGACGTGCACCTGTGTGCCGTGTAAACGCATAACGTACAAGTGTAGCAGCTATGCTACACTGGCAACAGAGACCTGAGACTTGTCACGATCATTCGGCGATTCATTCGCGACCGGCTAGGTATACCGGGGGTGTCAATTGAACCGGATGAAACAATTTACTATCTTTTAAAGCTGGCAAGCGATTCAATTTATTTTCTACTGCCCCTGCACGTTGCACGGCCGTGCTGTTACCGCCGCGCCGTTCGAATCGCAATTTTTCTTTTTTCTTTTTCTGCTACACGCAGTCACGTGTGCATGAAGTTTCTAACGAAAATGACACTTTTTATGAATAAACAGAGACAGTAATTTGAAATTAAAGGTATCATTTCGCTCGTAATTTTCACTAATAGGACTCACTGATAGGATAATTAAATGTTTACTGAACAATGTGAACAAGGTTTTAATCATCATCGATTTGCATAAACGTCAATATCAACGACTGTTCTCTCTGTTTTGCCATCGGAACAACAAAAGGCACGACGAGTGACGAATCGTTCGATAACAAAAGCCAGAGCGACGGTGCAGTGTTTTCCGCGACTATCGGCTCTCGGCGTGGATGTATCAATTTTACGATGAATTTTTCTTTCCTCTCTCTCTTCTTTCTATTGTCGAGAAATCTCGTTGTCAGTTCCTTGCCTCGACACGACGCTCGTTTAACTTTGCACCCGATTAATCAAACCGCCTAGACTACAACACCATATGAAAGTAAAATAAGTAGCAAGTACCCTTGCGACATTATCGCTTCTTCTTTGCTAGAAGACGTTCTCGCCAATTATCCGTTTTTGCAATTGAAATCAACATCCTTCGGCAGCTGTTGTTAAATTTTCATAGACCACATTCGACTAATCGCTTTCAATTGTCGTGTCCTGTGAAATCTAAACAGTCTTTGTCCATTTCCATTAAACGGATGTCTATCTACTTAGAACAAGTTTGTCATCCTCAGGAGACAGAAATCAGCAGGTAAAAAGCTGTTTTATCTGATCCGAGGTAATCGTTTAATGTATACCTGCTCGTCCTTCCGCACGTCCTTCCGTTAACTCCATCTTCGTCACGCTTGAGAGCGTTCGCCAACTGTTGCACTTCGCCTCTAACAGTCTTCGACGTTGATAATGACCAGCTACCGCCTATCTTCCCTCCATTTGCGACGCACGCAAGACAGATTTTTATCAAAACTTCGTTTCAAGGTCTTCGCGGAACGTGAGCGTTTTAACACAAAGTCTGTTCTTGCTGTTGTCCACCTTACATTAATTGTCGTCTCTTACGTGCATTACGTAAGAGATTTAAATGTTACCGTGCTTAATAATGCTCGTGCGTTATTTTTCTTCTCCACACAGAACTGAAGTGATCGCCGCTCTTTATACAGATTAGTGATCACTACTCTTTATACAGTACCCAGTGATAATAAAATTAATTAATTTCGCATCGTTTCGATAATGAGAAGATTTAATTGACCGCACTAATCTGAGGCAAAATTAATGAAAATTTAAATCGAAACACTCTATGTACATAATACGATTCATATACGCCTTTGACAAGCTCAAAGCGTCCCAGGGTGTTTCGAGTCGAAGGCAAAGGGTATCAGGTTTTTTTTCGTGCGGTCACGGACAAGTCATGGTCGCACGGTGTTGAATGTATACCGGACGGTGTCCACTCGGATGGAACACCTACCTTTGAAGTCTGAGGTTTGTCTTTGGTAAACACCTTAACGGTGTCCCTTTCTGTTTCTCTTTCGCCTTTCTCTCTCCCTTTCAACGGCCGTTTGAGAAGCAAACGCGACCAGCGTTTCCAACGTTCGGCCGCGTGCAAACATTGCATTTCGCTGGCGTCAATTATTCTCGCATTACGCGGCGAATTAAAAAGATACGCATCACCTCGTGCGGTTCACTTTGTACTCGTTAGCCACCGAGAGCAGGAAACATTTTTCGTCGTGATATTTACCCGCGGAGAATCGTTTCCACTTCTTATACTCGGGTACAGTGGTTGCATAATACTCCTTCAGATTCCAAGGCTTACGAGTGGAGTGCGTAGCTTTTACGCATTTATAGAAATGTAATGTCCAAAACGTTCAATTCACAAACGCGATATCTAAAAGTATGTAAAGTGTAATCGCTCGTGGAAAATAGTTTGTTTCTCGCTTGAAAATTTGAACGTTGAGGCCTGGGCCTTGGGACGCGTAGTCGCCATTCAATTTCGTTAATTACCTTGAAGATCATGAGACGAATTAAAAACAGTTGCCATCAGCTGCCACTCGTTATGATCTTCAAACTGCTCTGCACTCGTGGTATACATATGAGCGGAACGTGCATGCGTTTTAATTGATATGACGTCATGTAAAGACGCCGAAACTCTACTTCCCAGGATTTGTTTGTTCAAGACTGGACAGCACAACGGAACCAGGTATCTTGGTTTCTTAAGGAAATAACAATATTCTACGTGTCTGGTCTTACGATTCGGAGTTTTCATCAATTTAGGCGGGCTTTATCGATCGTGAGGGAAAATCAAGCGTATCCTTGGTCTTTTGAAAGCAAAATTCTCTCGGATCCACGAAATAGATGTGGGCTCTGCGCCCGTATACGTGCGTGCTCGGCACGTTGCATTTAATCGTAAAATATTCGAAGACTTCCTCTCGATAGATCCATTTTTCAGTTTTAAAATAAATAGCTTTATTTTCAACTTAGATAAGTTCTATTTTACGCGAGTATCGTGTAAATATTCAAATTCATCCTCCAATAAATTATCTAATTCTCTATATCCCTCTATAGTCCGTATTTCCCATTTGTTCATTTTATCTGCAAGACATTTCACTGCGAGAAAAATTTTCATTACAGACTTGAACTGGATAGATAAAGCTTGTTATTTTGCCAAGAAAAATCGCCACGTGACTTTGTTTATCAGTGTAGTGAAAGAAAAACGTAACAAAATAACTTCGAAGTAGTTGCTTGGAATAGCTTGGAATTGACATGGAGCACGAGCCAGCGATCGGTAGAACGATTCGGAATTTCGCACGATTATCGGTAGACTTGGAGGTGAACCCCTAGCAAGTCACGAGGCACGCGTTGTAGGTGAGAGGATGTGGCCGACAGGAAGTTCATTGTGTACGGCTACACATATAATGTTGCACGTCGAACGATCCTGTGGATTCTACGTAGTTTCGTGCCGGCAACAGATCGGAATTCGTCAGATTGTGCGTTCGATTCGAATCCTTATACGATCCTTGCATTATGAATCCGTGGGTATCGCGTCGTGGCTGGATCGCGTTTCACGCACTATGAAATCGCATGTAGGTTAACGCGTGGGTAGAGATCCATTACAAGCGCCGTTTAAGTAATTATTTTTCAATTAAGGAGGAAAAAATTCGAAAAATGGCGTCGAGACGAGATTAAAGAATTCCATCGTCTACCGAGCAAACGGTTAGGCGTGTGGAGTGGCAATTGCGCCAATTTACCTGGTTCATTCTCATCGTTTTACTACCGAATTACACGAGAAGGTTGTTGTACACACTTTATGTAACGCTATCTACTAGGGGAAATGATAAAAGATTGAGATCACAGCGCCATGGACCACTAAAAAATCACGACGCGCCACAGCGTTTAGAAAGTTAATCCGTCCCGGTTATGCAATCGTGGTAAGGTCATCCTAGGTATCATCTAAAGATATGATAAGGCTACTCGTGTTTAGTAAATACCACGGGCGCCACTCGTGTGCGACGCATCATAAACACGAATGTCAATCTATAATGAATTTTTATAAAGAACTTCGTATTCTTTTTTCCACCTAAACTCCAACGTCTGATCGACAGTCCTTATCTTGAACTTCAATAATAGCTACCCACGAATTGCCCTTCGAACCCGACATCGTCGTGCGAAGACGTGAAAAAAAAAAGCCGGGGGAAGATCGACAAAGCAGAGCAAAGGGAACGAGATAAGGGATCCAGAAGTTGATTTCTGAACCGTGATTTCTTTTATCTGGCCTCTCGGGTAATTGAAATGCAACGTTTCGAGAAACCTTTCCACGTCTGGCGAGAGATATCGATAAACGCGCGCAACCGCGCTCGCAACATGAAATAACCAACAACATTTTTCGCCGCGGCACAAAAGTCTGAGACCTCTATTAAGCCGAGACGAAACATTCCTTCGAAGCGAGTGGTTCCCGTGGCTTCGTGTGAACAAACCGGCCGTAAGAAGCTTGTAATCAGTGTCTTTGCCAATTGGCGTGAACGAAATTGCCAGCAATTATCAATTCGGTTTAATCATTCGTCCAGACCGCCTTTTATTCCGTTTATCGCTCCTGATGCATCCTTTCAATCGCCTCATTCGTTCTTTGTACGAGTCGGAGAGAAGGAAAAAAAAAAACAGATAGGAAAAGCACGATTCTTTCAACTCACGTCATTAAATTAAAGCAATCGTATTGAGTCTACGCATGATCTACTCTCGCGGAATCTTGTGACAAAAATGTTCCAATGTGGGAACAGTGATATTGGGAAGAAGTATAGAAAAAAATAAAAAAAAAAATTTCTAGAAGTTCCTGTATCCGTTACAACTAGGCTTTCATCCTCGAGACCATGCTTATGGACTGCGATGATGCGCCGTCGTGTAGTTAAGTTAATTAATGAATGGTACAGTCGGGATGGAGAGTGGACTTAAATTGATACGTCCTTCGTGCGGAGCCATTTTTGTGCTACGCTCGCCTCGCTCCGAGAACGCTCCTCGCGGTTTCAACAAATCGACCAGTTTCCTTACTCTTTCGACGTTCCCTTAATCTTTTTTTCGCCATAACATTCTCGATTTCATCGCAAAAAATATTATCTATTATTTTCTCAAGGGAATAACCACTGTATATATGTATAATGTAGATCACGAAACGCTGATGATGACGTAAAAATTCGTATACGTATGCGAAATACAAAATAGTGACAATCGAACACGATAGGTGAGCCACAAATTGAAACAACAAACAAAAATAATTGGCACCACTATCGAATCGTTGACGTGTCGATCGCAGATCGATTTCTCGTTTAGTTTCACGGATCAATATGAACTTCGCAACAGTATTGACCTCTTCGTCATATAATCACGCGCGATAAAGAAATTTCCCCACGATTATGATAATTTATTGCAGCAAACAATCATCTTCGTACAGAGTGTACTATGAAAATGTGGAATGGAAAAAGTGTCTTACATTTCACGGACGATTTAACAACCAGTTTACATATTGGAGGGGTTTTTTTTAGAATTACAGTAGCTAGCTAGTCTTGTCGACCAGTCACGCAACGATCTTCCTTAATTTTATCTACTGCCGTATCTACTTCCATAATATGAATGTTTAATAACATTGCAAATAATCGCTGACTTTGATAAACGCTGTCCATGATTAACAAAAAATGAAAGAAAGAAGATAACACCAATTTTTCAATTTATTCCGAATAAGTTTCATTTTATCAAATTTTTTATAGCATCACATAAATAACCCGTCGTACAAAATATTGAACAAAATACCTTTTACTTTCGATCAGAGTGATACATTCTTTTGAAAACGAGTAAAAGGTTACTTCGCTTGAAATGCAACAAGTTACGCGCTCAAAGTATAATAAATGGCAAACAATTCCTCAATGCTCTTCAATGTAAAGAAAGTACAAAGGAGAGTTTTTAAATTCGCAGACCAGTTGAGGAATATTTTTGTTAATAAATCTTGTGTCTTTGAAATTTAAACCTTTGGACCTAACTGAGTGAATTCTTTGTATTCATAAATAACTTTATGTAAATTATAAATTTGAGAATCCTGACCTGATTCAAATCGAGGTCTGGGCATTTCGAGGCACATTCTTCTTGCAGGTTGGCTGGAGCAGCTCGATCTTCGAAGTCTTCTGGCAGAAGCGCCGAGACGCTTCCCGCCAACGCCAACACCTTCAGAAGCACACATAATCTCGTTGCTAACATAATATCCACAACCCCCCCGTGAAATGAACCCTCGATCACCCTCCACAGAATTTTCGCAAAAATTTCCTTAACTGTCGATCGTCATTGTCCTCTCGATCCGAACGACCTCCACAACTGTTGAAAGAGGTTCGATATGCGAATTAAACGTCCCTCCTTCGCATTCTTCCACATTGATCCTCGAACTTAAAAAATTCGAGCATTATTTCAATAACTGATGTCCTTCGAACGAAATTTCAACCGAATGGAATCGCGTACTTTTCACATAAATAATCAAACAATGTACAGCACGAATAAATTATCCTCCACTAATTCTTATTATTGCTTGTATTAATTATTGCTTTTAAAAAAAAGGCTTTCAACGCCTTTAACGTTACACGTGGATAGTTCCAATTCACCCTTTATTATGTATTCACTGTATGTTAAAAATTCACGCCTGTAGTTTAACAAATTATCACTAAAAATATCCACCAACGCAAATGTCAACAACAACTTCCATCACTTTCTTTTTACGATTGTAAAAGAATTGCATGTATGTCGGCCAGGTCCTTTTCGTTTATTTCGCGAATTGATAATGATGAACCTCACGGTGAAAAAATGGGATTCGAAATTGTTTCGAATCACCTGTGACGTTTCGAGTCACGAGGCCCTCACTGAAAGAGCCCGGCGTGGTTGTTAATATCTGGCAAGCATAAGAGCAACTGACTCCGAATGGGCACTAGAGAGTCAACTATCCCCCACCATGGCCACCCTTATCTGTTGCACTCTGCTTGACCAATTCCACACAGTGGTAGTAGGTATACTTCGAGCTGAACGTGTGCACGTGAGCCCACTATGGTATGCACGTCGAGTATCTAAAGATGAACAGAAGGGAGAAGAGATCTGAACCTTCGTTCGTGTAGGTCCGACTGTAACCAATGGTCAATTGGTAGATTGACCTGTTCTTACTATCCTCGTAAACTTTCATTCATATATTCGCACGTGCCGCTTTTCGCCGGGTATCCACGTTGTCATTCAAAACAAAGAAAAATAGGAGTTGCAAAAAAAAAAAAAAAACGGTATGATTTTCTTTTTTTTGTTGCATTTTTGGAATAGTGTAATTCTCTTCGAATTATATTGGAATTAATGTAAAATTAAGTGTAAATGCAAGTACAATTAAATGTCTAACGACATTTTTTAGAGGATGGATTAAATCCTTCCAAGATCACTATATGGAAAGTATAAGAAAGAATAGTTTCATTTGTTGATCAATGAAGAGATAAAGTGTTAAATGTGTAAACGTCGGATTGAATTCAAGCTATACATTAGCTGAAGATCACTTCGTTAAGTCAACCATCCTCTTCTGTCGCGTTAGGCTGAACCGCATATTACGGTCGGCTGGTACAAAACAAATTCGAGGCCCAGCTTCGAGCAAATACTAAATGTGGATATTGACGTTTCCAGAAAAGATGTATTTTTTTTTTAAATTTCTGTACACAAACGCTTCATTTTGACACCATTAGAAACAAACGTCTTTTATTGACAATACCCGAAAAGAATAGTGATGCTAACTCGAAAATCATACCATCTATCATGCGGATAAATATTGAGCTTTCCATGTAATTGTTATTGTATAATAATACGGTTTTCCTTAATCAATAAACGCACAGTTATTTGTTTCATATTGTTCATCGGTCTTTGTTCAACCAAGTCAAACCATGACTCATTTCGACAGATTAAAATCTGCAGATGACAAGAGCCAACCTGTGTATTATATTATATATTGTGTTACCATTGTCAGTCACAATGCCTTTCTTTTCAATGACCCGAAAGCAAGCCATTCTTCAACACGTACGCATATCTATTCTATCTGCACAAAGACTTCGATTTACCTTCGTTCGTAGGCCATGCCTCATTTACATTTTCGTACCATCGAACATGGATGGAAAAAATTCTTTCACTTTATGAGTAAATAAAAAATGGTATATCCTATACTCACTTTGTATGATACATTGCAGCCCTTATTGCGACTCCACTTCATTCATCTTTTTCCCCATTCCAGTAGCGGTTCTAGAAGTCGCTGAAATTCTTTCCTTAAGTACGTCATGTATCTAGCACAAACGAACACCATGAACGAATTATGTAATGTCATGTTTAAAAGGATTATTTTTCTCCTCCTTTTTTTCGCATCGATGTTTATTAAATTTTTTTGAACACTTTCTTTTTAAAAGTTTGAACATGACTGAGATGTTCAAACTACTCTGAGAAAAAACTACTTGTATTGCCTACAACTGAGACATTATTGCTAAATATAAAACAAATTAAAAATTAAAAAAAAAGTTTTATACTAGAAAGTGAAGACCAATCAATTAATACGACGAGATTATGAGCAGGCGAATTCAGAACAGCTTGTTATGAAACGACAGCGATCTGTGGCACGTTAGTTCCAACCTCAATGGCGGTTACAGGTTACCTAGGGCTTCCTGCGGAAATGGCCAATATACTCCTCCGACCTCCAACTCACTCAGTCACTCGCTCGCTCGGATCACTCCTGTTTGGTGTACCCCGTACCCATATGATCGCCCTGTCGCTCGACACGTACTCGTTACGGGTCATCATCGTGATCTATGCGCCTACAACAAATGTTACATCCTTAATCTGTCCTAGCTTGCTAATCCTACGCTCGTGCTGAACGAGAAAGTTGACATTATTCTGTAACTGCAGATAGACCTGGTTATTTCGCGAGGCGATTAGAATCAGTTTAGTTAGAGCAAGAGTAAACGACGGTCCGAAGACTACAATGAAATTGGCTAATGTAAATTGAACGATTAAAAAAATGCAATTATAAAATAATTTTATGTAATCTCCTGTCGTTCATTTTTTTTTTTAAGAAACATAATAAATTTTAATTCTCAAAAGCATTTTCTCATGGGTGTGATATAATAAATATGTTATAATATAATTTTCTAATAGAATAATCATCTTAAAGAGATGATACTTTGCTGTGTTTAAATAAAAATTTGTTAGTAAAATGATTATGAAAACAATGTTCCCCGATGTGAACCAAGTGCGATCCAATTCACACGTGCTCATGCTTCATTGTTTGTTTTGCATGCAATGTGATTATCAACACAAAAGAAGAAGCTTTTTGTAAGATGTCTAGACGACTAGCCTAAAGCTTACCCTGCTTTACACGATACAGCAACAATTCGGCTCTATTAGACCAATAAAGTGTATCAAAGAGGAGGAATGCGCCCCGCGTCAGTCGTACATGTAGTGTCAGTTTGTCTGTGCATGTTTTGATATGCGGGGTGCGGGTGGATGGTTAATTTAAATTCATCACAGTCATACGCTAGAATAATGAGGCAGAGAAGGTCAGTTACAATAGAGAAAAAAATAGACAAGTTTTTATATAAAGCAATATTAAAAAATAAAATGATGATTTTTGTTCAATCCATAATTTAATAAGAAAAAATAGATTTAATGATTAAAACGCCTTGGCGATAAAGAATGCTTCGTTTATGTTACAGTGATTTTTGCTACTGGTATATACATACATTGAACATTTGTGTAAAATTATGTCAAGTTACTGCCAACTTACATGTTTAAATATCCAAAAATAAGAAAATTTTTTAAAATTGTAATAATTCGTAATTAATATAATGCAAAAACAAAATATGCAAGTATCCATGGTATAAAGTTCAATTTAAACAATCTCATGTTGCTTTTAATGCTTCCCAAAGATAATTGTTATCTTTATCGAAAATTAATTACAATCCAACAACTTTCTTAGGAAATGCTGCGAGACCAACACCTTCTCTTACTTTTTAGCTTGTTTACTACTTTTTTAATTATGAATTATATTTATTTACAACATAAAAACCAAATCGTTCATCGTAATTTAACAATATACTTTTTTATGATAATAAACTAATATTAACGATTCTATTTATATATACATTTATTACAAATCTATCTCGTGTATCGTTTTCAAAAATTTTATTTTTCGAGTATTGAACTTATCGTTGTTTAATGTTTTTTGTTTTTTTATTTTGTTGGGCAATTCTTTACTCCAATTTTATATGTAAATATATTCAATTCGTAATTACTTCAACATAAACTAAATATGTAATAGATAGATAGTATCTTATAATATGTATCTCAATTTACCACCAGAGAGCACTACCTCTTAGGTTTTGATTCAAATGTGACGCATATTTATATGTACATATATTATAAGCGACTAATTTAACTTTTATTTTTCAACAAAATTTTATATTAAATATAGTATATAAAATATTACACAATTATTTATATGTTCGATTTATATAAAATGGAATTTTTTAACATAGTAGAAATCTTCATGTAAATCTGTCACATATTATAAGAATTTGTGGTAATTCAAGATGGAAGACGGTGAAAATAAAACGGACGTTGGGCTGGATAAAGAGAAAAAGTCGTACGCTGGAATACCGGAGGCCGAATTTGTTGTAAGTATATCATTCTAACAAAAAATTTACATAATATGGTATTATAAAATTGGTACTAATATATAAATTTTATATATTTGCATTGTATTGTATTACGAAGAATATTTTTACAAAAAAGTAATTCTTGTTACTAATTTTTGTAAAATTCGGTGAAGTAAATTCCATGAAAAGAGAGCAGGAAACATTCTTTCTTTATTTTTGTATTATATTTATGTATTATTAGCATAATCCGTGGAATATACTTTCTCGAAACGATAGCCGTATATGGTCACAAAAGAAACACGATATTTGAATTTATCAGAAAATATACGTATTTTTATCTTACTTAAAATATTTTAAATTTAGGATGATGTCGATGCTTTTATGGCAAGACCTGAAAATGAATCAGCAGACAAAGTACTCCAAATGTTGGATGAGAACCATGGAAAGTATAAATTTATGGAATATAATTTATTTAATAAGAGAAAACGTTTGAAGGCTCAGATTCCAGATCTAGAGAGATCATTAGATATGATTAAAAAATTACAGCAAGAGAAAAATGAAAGCAAAGAATTAGAGACACAATTTCTTTTATCGGAACAAGTTTATGCAAAAGCTGTTATTCCTCCTACTAATAAAGTGTGTTTGTGGTTAGGAGCCAATGTTATGTTAGAATATACTTTGGACGATGCACAAGAAATGTTAACAAAGAATATCGAAGCAGCAAAGAGAAATCTAGGCTATGTTGAACATGACTTAGATTTTGTGAGAGATCAATTTACTACAACGGAAGTTAATATGGCACGTATTTATAATTGGGAAGTAAAACGCAGACAAGCTACTAAACCAACATGAAGGCTGTTTTTTAAATAAATTCAATTTGCACGTGTTGAACGCCTAAAACTCAAAGGGTAATTATATAGATGAAATAAATGTTGGATGAATTCACATGTTATTATATTTATTATAATATATGTGTTTACATTATAATTTTAATAATATAGAATACTACTGTTCTTTTTTTAAGGTTACATTATTAAATGGAAAGAGCCTGTGAATAAAAAGTACTGTTGGAAACTGTCAATGGAATAAAGGATTCAAATGCCACCACATATTTAGGTTATAAGCTAGATACACCAATATTTATGTATATTGCCTCAAATACATTTGGATTCTAACTTAATATGTTGTTTTGTGTACTTACAGAAAGGTCTATTACCATATTTATTATATTAAACTTAACTTATATTTTGATATTTTTGCAAAAAAAATATACAACTTTATAAAAACCAAAGCAATACATTATGCTTGTTAATATCTGAAATATCACATAAACCAAAATTTAATTTGAGCATAATTTTCTAATTTATCCTGCTCATTTACTTTGATTACAAACTATGTTCTATGTTTATATACTACGTTTAATTTAGTTAAAAAAAACAAATATAAAAAGTATTACTTATACTTTTATGGGCATGATTAAGAAATATGCTTATAACTAATGGAATTTGCACGAATGAAACTTAATTTATCTTATGTTTTAAATTGTCTTGGACAAGATTTGCTATATCTATTTTAAGGCACATAGTCAGTCTGACTTTCTATGAAAGTCAATGTCCAATAGGGACTAGTATTTTGTTGTTGTCTAAAACTTTGAGATTAAATTATTCTATTCCTTCGTCTGCTTCATATTTCACCAACTTTGCCTTCAACTCTGTGATCTTAGATTTAGCTTCTTCCAGTTCTTCCTTTAATAGTTTCACTTCCACATCAACTTCTGTAATACCTCCTAAATGTAGACGAATATATCTATGATACGATTTAGGAAATATACATTTTCCATTAAAAATATATATACCAAAATTTTTTGTATTATAAATCTATTGAACACGTGTTTTAAAGGATACTCTAAAGCATCATCTGGTTTTTCTGGTTCTTCATATAAAGACACAAGCACTTTTGTAAGAGCATCCATAACGCCTGCTCTTTCCAAATATTTTCTGAATTCTTCCTTTTTAGAATCAGGTGGCTGAAATATTTCAAAAATTAGAAATAATAAATTTTATTCTATGTTTATATATACAAGATAATCGTACAATTTGATGACAAAAAACATCAAGTCGCCATCATTATTAAAGAAATTATATTGAATAAAATTGTGTAAAATTAACATTACCTTAAAATTCGACATTTTTATTATCGAGTTGTCTTTATATAACTGCTTTACAATACTTGGAAGCTAATATTTATCAAACAATTTAAGGAAATTCCAACACGTGCATAACAACTCGATACGTAACGAATTAAACCATTGACGCTCGTTCAAAACAAATGTCATACATGATTTCTAAAACAATGTATATTCGAAACAATTTAAAAATGATAATTAGTTACCATTGTCAGAAGTGAATATAGTATCAGTGAAAGTTTATCTGTTCTCTTTCACTTTTTTTCACTAAAATATAATTTACGAAATTAATGTGCCTTAGATATTAAACTTGGAATAATTTCTTTCGATCGATGTCTCCCTAGTCAACAAAGCATCTTGTTTCGACCCATATCCGATTTTAAAATTTTATATCTCATGATAAAATTTAAGTAATTGTAAAATAAAAACAAACAAAGCAAAATAGAGAATTATAAATAAATTCGAGCATTTAATAAGTTTTAAATATAGCTTAAAATTTGTTAAATTCGTTTAACTTAGCTGAAATATAGTATAATGAGAAATGTCGTATGTACTATATCAAAGCATTAATCATTCAAAATGGCGAGATAATATTTGTTGCAATTTTCTCACTACTTTTTTTTTGAACAAAGAACTTAATAAAAACGAATTTGAAATTATTTTGAAAAAGCTTATTGTAATGTTTCTTGGAAAAAGAGAATTATTTTTACGAGTGGTGCTGACTGGTTTTATAGGTATTTGTTCGTTCATTGGTGATCAAGGTTTAAAATATGGAAAAACTGCTGTGGCACGCGCGATTTTTGACAATGTCACCCATGCAATTGTGGGTGGTCTTACTTGGGCAGTCATTTTAAATTTGTCAAAAAAATCTCTCACTCAAAACTTCTCGAGTATTTTCTGCAGTTTTTGTTTGTCCTCTTTTGTTGATGTGGATCATTTTATTGCAGCATGCAGTTGGAAGTTAAGTGTAAGTAACGTTATTACCTTTTATGTATAATTTCTAATAATGAAATCTAAGTTTTAAATTTTGTGACTTTTCTTTGCAGGATGCTACGCATTTAGAAAAACGACCATTTTTTCATTGCACTACTCTTCCTATAACAGCATGGCTTATGATGAATTTTTATGCAAGTGTATTTAACCATCCAAAACTCAGCTACTATTCCTGGATAATATTGGCAAGTTTTTTAAGTCATCATATAAGAGATGGTACAAGAAGAGGTTTATGGTTTTGTCCCATTGGTTCTACACAATCTATTCCGTATTATTTATACTTAAGTATGAGTATGATGCTTCCTCATGTGTTGCAATGGTTGATGGCACCGTCTGTGCACGAGGTTAAATCTCCAGAAGATGAAACATTAATTGATATTGTATAAATAATGTAAAGTAATTAACTGTATATATGTACATATATATGAGAACATAATCTCATTTTTACGTTAGTACCATCTATATTTTTTTAATAATTTATATACTTTTTGATTAAATTTATTATAAATAAATATTATATTTGTACAAATTTTAAAAAAACTACAAGCATTGTAAATATGAATATATCTTGATTACTTGATAAAAAAGAATGAAAATAAAAAATGTTTCAAGAAACATCCTTTTTGCATGGTAACAAAGGACTGTGCAAACAATCCGACTTATTTTAAAAAGCAACAGGAAGTTGTATATTTTATATTTATTATTTTATACTTTTGTATTTATCATAAAACAGGAAAAACATATATTACATAATTACCACTCATATTTCTACACCTTATGGCTATAGCAAGGCCAAACAAATCATTTACCAATAATTTTTAAACAAGTGAAATTTCCTGAAATTATTTCAATTAATAATAATAAATACTACGGTATTTATACTTCAAACTTCTAGGTTCGTTTTAAAAAGTATATAAAAGTCTTTAAAATTCTATAAAAGTTATATTATTTTATATCAACATCTCGTGAAGTTGTATTGGAAAAAATTGTTACGTCCAAGTTTACATGGTTGTTTGCAAAAGCAAGAGTATTTAATAAACGCTTATTATTCATCTATATCGATTTTATATTTTTTGTATCACATGTCGAATTTTTGTGATTGAGGTGCAATTGAACGATATCCGTGTAAATAAGTATGTATATACTGAGGATTTAGAGTGGACGCGGAAGACGCGGATGCCCTTGTAAAGTCAGCAGCGTGGACACGTGTGTATACGTACACCTTCTACAGGCTGGAGGGGTTTATCAGCATTCAGCATTGCTTCGCTGGCACTCTTACACACTTTACTTCACTCTTGTATTCGTTCGCGGCCATATATTAGTGTTTATTTACCTAGCTACCTCTTCTCTCGAGCAACGATAGAGTTTACGTCTGTGTCCAAAAAAGTCCGCAGTTTATTGCTAGTGAAACGATCGGTCTCACAATCGACAATTCCAACTGTGTTATTATCCTCTTTTTTCATGTTTTCACCATGACGCTGTTCGATTTTTATCGCGAAAAGTTTGTTTGCTTTGAACACGCTTTTGATGAAGAATTACTGCTCGTTAGTTGTGCTGCGCGAGAAAGTTATCGGTGATATCGAGTTTTATTTTCTCGATTGTGTTACACCCTCTTGCATACAACATTTTTTAAAGGCGCATATAAATAGGAAAAGATTTCGTTAAATAAGAACTCTACAATACCACCAGATTCTCGCAGATATCGCATCAACCACGATAACACGTTGATACCGATATCTTGATTGTGTGTCAGTCCGGCATTGTCTTCAGGGAGGTCCAGTGTTACTATTACTTCGTTTATAGTATATTTATCATGGTGAGTATGTTTGCTTTCTCTATGGATTGTTTCTACAACGATCCTGCGACTTCTGACCACAAATTGTATTCCAGCTAAATGTAATGCAAATCGCTTTAATACACACATACAAGGTTGTCGCTCGTCTTACGATTATAATGATTAAACGAGTGTTCATTTACCGACTCATTCTGAGTAATTGTTCTATGCGTATCGTTTCGATGGAACAATAGAACTTTGCGTTTGTAGGTAGTTAATTAAATTAAACAATCATTATTACTTATCACGCATGCATTAACGTTTCATGAAATTTCGCATGAAATCAGGTTAATCATAGACTCGTAATGAAGTTTATTTTGTAATACTAATTACGGCGACTCGAGCGGTTCCCTATTAGAGATGCAACTATGTATATACTTTCAAGGTTGAATTGGCGCAAGAAGAATCACTGGAATTATGTGAATTATGTGATGAAAGTGATTTGTGAGGAATATTTAAAATTTTATTGTATAGCTTAAGATAATACCATTCAGTAACAGCATTATGCATTATTTCACTTATCTCGAACGTTTTGTATAATAACAAAACGTAACAGCAATTCTAAATTTCCTGTTTGTTGCCAATATGTTTATCAAGTTTTATGTCATCCTGACGCGTTAAACGCAGGTTGTGAAATAACGCCTCGAGGAAATGCAAAGCAACCGTGCGTGACAAAGATTCTTTCACATTCTTGCATTCTCACTGTGTCCATCTTGTTACGCCCTCGCTCTATTGGCACATTTCGAATTGGCACGCGAGTCTATCATATCAGGAGGAATTCTTTATCTTCTTTAGTTGACCGTTTTTAAAACAAATTATCATATATCATTAAATCATCAACGAGGGATCTTCGGAATTTCTAAACATATTTTATCAAAATCTCTTGTCAGCGAAGATCTAAAGCGAAATGTTTGATTTTTCAGGAAGCCGATGACTTGTTGCTGTATTTTGCTATAGCAGCAGGTGTCGTTGCCGGTGTTCTGTTGCTACTCTTTGTTTTAGTGTGCGTACTGTTTGTCAAAGTCAATCGATTATCGAAAAATGGGTGAGTATCTTTTTGCAAAACAGTGGCTCTTTCTTTTCCTCATCGATGTGTGCAAAAATTCATTCCCGATTTTCGCTTACAACCATTTTTTACATTCAACGCAAATGCTGTCGAGCTTTGCTTAAAAAAGAGGAAAAGGGGAAAAAATGGCTTTGCTTCTTGAATGATGATAGTTTGAACCTGTTTTAATTGAAATATTTGACGGGTTTTCTGATTAAACTCGGTGGATATTCAGCGGCATAGCCGGCGTTTCGTTTTATTGGGACGGGCCACGTTCTCGACGAACTAGGAATCCGAATAAGTCACGTAAGATTTATATTCTAAACGAGTGAAAAGAAATTATTAATTCATGACTCACTACGGTATTGATAGCGTATCTTTTGCCGTGCGCGACGCGATTATTTAGTTTATCTTTGTAAAAGAATGTGAAATGGATACGGGGAATTAAAATGGCTTGCAGGCGATCAGATTCCTCTTTTTTTTTTTATATATTTATTTTCCTGACTGTCTAAAGTATACCTACATATTTCTGAAGCAAAAATATTTCTTGAATAAATTTGAAATTGCTTTTATATTATATCTTTTAGCCTAAATTTATTATTTTCTTAAATCGGTAAAAATTATTCAGGCTCAATCAGCTGCATAAACAAACCATGATAGCAGACTATTGTTACACGAACCCGACGATCGTGCCAGGAGAATTGCTATCACGTCGAGGATTTTCGATGTACAGCGGTTCCGATAACATTGATGATGATTACAGAACGAAGAGGGATCATTCTGGCAGTTATCTCGAGGCGCGATCAAAATTCTGACATAACACGAATGCGTGATTTATGTAAAATTCATCATACAACAAATTAAAGACTCGACTGGCGTAATTAATTAATTATACTCTCACGCGAATTTAATTATTATCTGCCATAAAATTTGTTTGTACATATATAGTTATTTATACATGTGGAATTTCGCTTTTGATATAAAACGATTAAACTAAAGTAAAGAAACGTATTTTTTTTAGAAAATATGAAATAGTTAAAGAAAAATAAATCGTGTTTGAGTTTATTTTATCTATAAATGATAATGCTGTGCAACAAGTTATCAACTACTTAGGAAGTTATTAGTACATTTGATTGCCGGTAGATTACGCTATGTGCGTTAGCCACGGAGAAGTAGTTCACGATGATAAGTATTAAAATTTAGAATAAATATAAATATAACAATTATAAAATATACAATCTATCGTATAATTTAATTAAAATCATTATTAAAAATTGTCTACATGTGTTCGTTATCTCGTTGTCATCTTTTGTTTTAATCATTTATTTTTCATTTCTAATAATCATTAGTGATTGAATTCCAAAGATTCTTTATGTAGGATAGCGTCTATTATATTTGTAACGTGTAATAATTATAATAAAATAATTATTATGTTTCTTAGTTTGTTGTCTATTCATTATCATTTTGTAGTGACAATTTTTCAATCAAAAATAACCTAATTGGTCATTTCAATAAATATATATATATATATATATAAAAAAAACTATTAAATATTTTCCTCCTCGCAGGAATTAAATAATATTTTCGACTGAATGTTTACAAACTCGTGGAAAATACCGCACGTGACTCCATTAAATTCGATTTCATACAAAAAGCATTACGTATCCTCCAATTTAGAATCGAATTTCATCAATAAATTATACTTTATATTTATTCTCCAATCGTGCGTAATCCTCTTATCGTGCATTTCCATTAATGTCCACTTAACTATCGGGCAACGTATGCGTTCTGGCAATTATTCCCTCACGATCCGACTTCACTTCAGAAACTGAACACCACTCCGAGACTACTCCTCGATATCTCCAACGCGAATCGCAAGAGAAATCGATTAATAGAATCTGTATCGATAACCAGAGGGCGTTGGTGTAACTAGTTTCGATCCTCAACGGCGGTAACTCAGTATCCCGGTATCGTTAAAAACTAAATGAATATTTTCGAAAATGGGAAACAAGCATGAAAAATGGAGAGAACGAAGAATATTATCGAAGTTACAGTATAACGTCCGCCGGAACGCTGAATGGAAATTCCACGCTGGATGGAAATTCTACAGGATGGAAGAGAGAGAGACGATGGCGGCAGGTGCATGGGTTAACCAAGGAAATCTACGACTCCATTAAGTGGTTGCACCAGGTACTTACTTGCAGATCTCTTTTTACGAACGGAAGTGGAGCACCTTCCGACCGATATACGCAACAATGTCGAAGTGGGTGGCGATGAGAACGTAGGTAGGGATGCAGACGATGCTACGGGGAGTAGGCAATAGTATGGGGATAGGCCGTAATTGGTATAAAATCATCGAGCAAACACATCGGACAAGACAGCCTGAGGGTTGTGGGCGGTGTTACGTGCCGTTGCCTTGGGAACCGTGGGGCGACTCTGCTAAAGCACCCCTTCGCCTTGATTGCGCACAGGCCCAACCGCCCCGTGTACGTATGTATGTTCTACACCCTGTCTGTCTATGTGTGCGTGAGTGTCACGCTGATACTGCGTGCATCTATATGCGGGTATTCGCGAAAGCGCCACCTGGCCTCGTCTACATCCCAGATTTACAAGGCGTGCACACGGTCCGATTTTTCCTTGTGTGTGTTACACGCTTTCTGCCGACTGTCCACAATTGTCGACGTAACATCGCAAAGATCAGCTATGTACTTTGGAAAATATCTCTTGCGTTTGGTGGTGTCTTTCTTTTTCGTAAGATCTCGAGTCGAGTTTCCCTCGCATCTCATCACTGGTCATTATAATGAAATTATAGTTTAGATCTATCTAAATATAACGATGTTCATTGTTTTTTCAATAATTTATTAAATTCAGTTACAATTCCTGTTGTTTAGAGTGGAGATTAAAATAAAAATTATAGCGGAGCAGGCTGTTGAACTCTGCCCCTTAATAATAAGGGAATATCACCCCCCTCTCTATTTGGATATACCTATATACTTAAGTATTTCCACCGGCACACGCAACTCGTCGAGTGTTTAGTTTAACCGTACCCCGTGAATCTGCGTTTATATTCCTAATCGGGCTGGATTACGGTCAGTTTCGTCCTGTTCCTCATAAACCATGCCACGAGACATATGTTATTCTCCGAACGTTCAATCGCAACATGCGATGTTTTTTTTTCGCTCTCTGGCGAGAACAAACTAACTACTCATTGCACGTGTCGTTGAAAATATAATCCGACCGAAAGTCTGTCAGTTTGTATTTAATTCGCACAAATTTAGATTTTTATGTCGCGTTCGATTAAATAATATTTGATTCTACTGACAATAAAAATTGCGTTATTTTATCGATGGGTTTCTTGATGTCAAGGATATACTAAACTTCCTCTGTTCGGTCAGTCAACATAAATTGCCATCGTTAAATTTGAAACATACGTTTAACAAGAAAACTTCAATTTCCACAATCATATAATAGATTCTCGTCAAATTAAGGTATCCTTTCGGTCTTCCTTTCTCTGATTCTCAGTTTAATCGCGGTCAATGTCGAAACGTCGCCATCGAAAATGGATCGCATCCGTTACGGGTGATCGCGTAATTTCACAGGATCGTGGCTGCGTCAGATTCGCTGGCCGAAGAATTTAACGAGGCGCACGCGACTCGCCCCCCTCCGGTGCGATCACCAGTCATACACGTTCGATAATAGCGGCCCCCGTAAACGTGAACACCCTTAACCACTGTGTTCTCGTTACACCAATCTCACGGTTGATGTATATTCATGGACCTGTCCGCGTATTTCGAACTAGAGAATTGTGTAAATGCCACCGATCCCTCACCGAGCCTATTCTATCGTTCTCGTGGAACGGTGGATTTCGAGTAATGTACGACGATGCGCAGATCGCAAATATTTTGTAGAGAATCTCTCGAGTGGGAAATAATCGTAAATACTATGTTTATCGGAAAACTAAAAAAGAATTGAAATTTTCAATCAATTTTACTACTGTTCCTTTACCAAAATTTTAGAGATTCGACGATTTTTCATACGGAAGAGAACTCGAAAGTAGTTGGTTAATTTCCTCAGTTCTCACAGCGACGAGTCAACTTTCGAATTATACGAACGCAGTGTGATTTCGTCGTCGAATAGAAAAATTAGTGACTCGTCCCATGAAACCTGTCTTTTCAGACGTCGCTCTAATGGCTGACGACGATTATAAAGAGGCACGTGCCTCTCTTCATGAGCGACCCCATGCAGGCTAGCACGCGACCACCGAAAGCTAACCGAAGAATCGCACAAGGTACAATTAATTTATTGTTCGTGCTGGTATAGTGACAATTGGGGGAACCCTGGAGAAAAACAGGATCGTTGTTTTCTTCTATTTCGTTCGAGGGGATTTCACGAACGGATGCTGCCAGCCGATCATCAGCCTTTGTCGTCGGATAGCCAACGATCTATTCAGAATGTTATATTTCTCCATTTTTAAAATTATGACTAATTTTATTAAAATTATGACTTTCGAATTGAGAACAGTTCCTTTTTCTTTTAACGTTAGGAAACATCTTTTTCATTTAAATTAAACAATTAAACAATCAAAGACGGAAGCAAATCGTTTATTTAAGAGATTCCATATAGGACACTCATATGTTTCAGCTTAATCTCGGTAAATTTACTAAAAGCATTCTCAGTTATGTTGTCTGCTTTTCACAGATATTTCCAGAAAAGTAAATTCCCACAATGAGAGAAAAACTTAGCTACAGAGTATGAAATCATACAGAAAAGTCTATTCCGTGTAGTTTCATCTTTCAAATAATTTCCCTTACAATAGGACTTCTTCAGTTAATTAAAAAAAAGAAAAAAAAACGGAAACATAAATCATTGATTTATTATAATTTCTCGTTATTTCCAAGATACAATGGTGTGTATTTGATCACGATCAAAGAGAATTTCTCATCATTCGAAGAGGAGGATCCATGTATAAAAAAAAAAGAAAAGAAAGAAAGAGAGAGCAGATCAATAAGATAGATCATCAGAGGAAAATATCGATTATATTTTTCTCGCAATAGGTATGCAGCGCGCGCGCCATTAGTTTTACAATATTTACAACACTTACAATAGTATCGTATCGTACAACGCTCGGCGATTATCGCTCAACTACCAATCGTACCTTCGATTTATTAATTTACATCGATTATAAATAATAGTGTTTCGCAATTCGTAATGTGTACACGTATATTATACATATGCCTCGTGGCGCTAACATGACGGCCTTGAGGAACTGTTAAGGATACTAAATGTTCGATAATAAAATATTTCGATGATTAAAATGTAACTGGGATCGCCAGAATACTCTATGATCGTATTTACCAAGTATTGGATTTTGGAGGTGTGCACGATGTTTAAATAAACGTGGAGCAACGGTGATATTTGTACCTTTCTTTTCTCTTCTCGTAAGAAGCGGGCGTGTTTCTTTGGTCGGTTGGTACAAACACTGGGTCAGTCTTCGGGTCTATCTAAGAAATATCTAGTATATTTATATATAGAAGTTTTTTTTTGTAGGAGCTACGAACGACTATGCAATGTACATCTCTACATTAAGTATCTCCCGCTATGCACTCAGATCTCCTTCGATTCACTTTTCATTTTATGTACAGTTACGCGCTAGTATCTTCCTATTGGCGAATAAATGCTAGTGTTAGTACTTTTACAGAACAGTTTGTGTAATTAAATCGTATAAAATCATTCGCCCATAGAGAGGATCGTGTTAAAACATCTTACGTTTGAGAAGAATTTTTGGCTACACACGTCCAGCGTGTAATTTGCAGAAATCGTCTTTCTTTCGCTTGTTCTTTTTATATTTTTAAATGGTGTTTCGAAATCAGCTTTTTCCCCCGTTAGTATTAACTCGAATTTGAAATTTTCTCGATTCCGACTGTTCCTTCTATGAAAAAATTCGTTAAATTAACAAGTTTGACAGCATCCGAATAAAAATTCTGATGAAATACACGATCGGAACGATTGCTTCACGTGATAGCGTGAACCTAACGTTAACGAATATCAATGAAACAGTTAAATGGATTTCAGTAAATGTTTAAGGACATGTTAAGAGGCATTCTTACACAAAACTGAAATTGCATTTGCCGTTATTACACCCTAACATATCCGAGGTTCAACTTATATCGATCTCGAAACAATTAATTACATCTACATACGTAATTAGATCTACATTCCTCGAGCAATAAAGTTAAGTGATATGTGAATAAAGTACAACTGATCCAACGATCAACCAATTTTGGAATAGATTGCCACTCGTTGCCAGTAGATATTCTACAATACGACAAAACCTTTTCAATTGTATGTTCTTAAATAATTAACGTTTTCTTACGTATATCGACTGTACATTTAGTTTCCTTAAAGTAAGTTTACGGAAATTCGGCAGTACTTGGCATTTCCGGCATTTTCAATGTTCCTATATCCATTCACGGTTCGCCGATCGCAATGTTCTGACTATACTCCACGAGTTCACGATTTCTCGTTGTAACCTCTGCCCGAAATGATCTTCCAAATTTCCGACGGTCGAACGCACCAGATCTTAGCTCTCACTTGCACGACCTGTTCGCGTTCATCGTTCAACATTACTCTTGAATTGTCAATGTTCGAGCATTCTTGCAGGAAATCGTTGTTCGTTCGGTTGGAGGGCGTATCACAATAGCACGACTCGTTGTTACAATTGTTATCAACGTGCTATGCGCAAGGCGCGTCTAGTTGGTGTCAGTGAACGAACTGATGATGCGCTTCGTAATGATGCTGGTAGTGAATCAAGTCTTGCACGGAGCTCGGGCTGTATTGCTGCGAGTCCACGATCACGCTGGTGTAACTGGCTGGCGTTGGTTCTTGATGATGATAAGAATGCTTCGCAGGATTGTTGTTGGTGTTGTAGTGGCTCAAATTGGGCTGGTATGACGATTCGTAATGTTGAACGTTGTTGGAAGCACTGGCACTGGCACTGGTACTTGCTGTGGCATTGTGAGTTTCGGTGTTCAGGCCGCAACTGGGATACATTATCACGCCGCCGACTTCGTTCAAGTTGGATGGCGCCGAGTCAGGCATATAGTGATGATAGTACGGGTAACTGTGGGGTACGGAATACACGCTCAGAGCACTCGGCAAATGAGTATCCATGGCATCAGTGCTGCAACAGGAACTCGACGAGGTGGAGTAAGGTCTGTTCTGTTGGTTACTTTGAGGGCTATGTTGCTGCTGTTGCTGCTGCTGCTGCTGCGGCGGCGGCGGTGGTTGCTGTTGTTGAGGCTGTGGCTGTGGTTGTGGCTGTGGCAAGCTTGTCGGAGGTGTCGAGTGATCTAGTAGATGAGGGGAATGCTGATGCTTCTGCTGAGCGTTTTGGGGGCTGTGCTGCTGTAGATTCGATGGGGAGTTAGCGTGGTGCATGGGATGAGGAGGATGCTGTGATTCTTGTTGTTGCGGCACGGAAGCTAACGGGTCTTGGTGCATGTCTGAAAGAAACATTCAATTTGGTTTTAATTCGAAAGTTCTTAACGATTTGTCGGAGATCTGTCCATGTGTTTCAATAATACGTTTGCGTCTATATTACCTCCATATTGGTAAAACCAGTCGGAGTTGTATTTTAAATTTTCCTCGTGGGCACTTCCGTTTATGTTCTGCGGCTGGTAAGATGGTGACAGATAATGATTGTGATTCGTCAGGTCAACGTACTCTGGTCTGGAATAAGTGGCACCGTTCGCGTAATCGTTATCAGGCGAGTCCTTCGATCTGGTCCGATACGCCGGTGAACTGGGACTGTGATTGTCCAATTCGTTGACGCTGCCGCTGGTGGTCGGTGTCGACAGCGGGGTACTGGGCGGGTTGCTTGGGTTCGAACAGTAGGACTTTTGCTCGCAATTCAGCAGCAGGTCCGTGTTCTCTGGTTTCGTCAACACGTAATTAACCGATACGATACAATGCGGTCGGGAGCTTCGGGAGTTGTGCACAATTGTGACGTACGATTGCATCCAGACCCAGCCTCCCGATTTCGTCAGAAATCTATAGTACTTGGTTATCACTTGCCCCTTGTAAAGTACTGCGAACACAATGAAGGTGAATAAAACCACCGTTGGAATAGACCGTTTCAAGAATCATTCTGTTATCTACGATTTTAGCGAATAGCCGACCGATAGTCCAGAACAGGAAGAAGAATCGAAGAATTTTTTTCAACTCGAACGTTTTAGAAGAGTCTTTTTCCGTGACACGACAAAAGAAAATTTTCAAGCGCCACGTCGATCGTACAATCCGCAGGCGCAGACATTAGTGGCATTATGTCAGGCTCCCTTCGAGTTGCGCTCGTGAAACTGCTAGTCTGTTCAAACAGTGATAGCAGTAACAGCCTCCTCCTCCTCCTCCCTCGCTCTCTTCTACCACCCCTTGCTCCCTCCATCTCTCTCTTCTTTCTCGTCCACCCTCACGCTGATGTTCACGCATACACAAACACACACAGACGTATTGTACACCTAGACACGGACACGTGCACACACCCGGCCCCAGTCTCTCTTTTCTACTTTGCTCATAGCGCCATAGCAGCATTGTTCAATCAATAATGTACACCGTGTATGTACTACGTGTGCATATACTTAGACTTCAGCGTGCTGGCGCGCGGGCATAAGATAGGGTAGAGAAAGAAGAGGAGAAAAAAGGGAAATGCTGTTATACTTCGATGCTTCGCCTCAAAAGTCGACTCTCGCGGAGGATGGGAGTAAAGAAAGATCAAAGGATATTTCGTCAGCGAGGGCGTCGCCGAGTTAAGCAGCGTCAGCTGCTTTTGGCCTTGCGAGAGCCTCTTCTTCGAGCACTCTGATACCACGTCGACGCCTCTGAGACCGCTTTCGAACTACACGCGTCAGGGAAAATAAGGCCTATTTCGATCGGCCGCTACTATTCGCCTAGCTCATAGTTTCTACAGTGTATCTCGGTTTCTTTCAAATAATTTACATGAAAATCAACATTCGAACTGCCGATCTTTCATTTTGCGTACATTTAAATATTTAGGTATTTAGAATTTTTCAATGGTATATATAACTGTCTGATGCACCTAGACATTAATCTCATGCAAATTTTAAGAAAGAAATTTTTTAAGAAAGAAATTGTCGCAAGAAGATAAGAGGTTGTTTGCAATCTTACAAGTTCCGTGAGCATGCCTCAGCTGCATCATGTCACAGCCATGCACGTAGTGATATAGCGTCTTTTCGATCAGATCCGGTGGATCGTATCCGGTCAGTTGTGACACACTGTAACAACAAACAGGAAGACAAAAAAAGAAACGTGTTTCATAATATCCATTGCACTTTCTTCCTCTGGCTACAGATATTTCAGAAAGAGATATATATATATATTTTTGCCGGGATTTGCCAAAGTCCCGTCGAATTCGAGGTTTACATAACCATCGTCATCCATGGAAATCGATTTTCCGGATCCGATATAAAATTTCATCCCGCGTTCCATCGCCGTACCCTGTATTTATATTCCGTCACGTGTTCATTTCCCAGCGTGTACGCGCGACTGAAGCGTGCGTATGTGCGTGATATAGTCTTGTCTGCGTGGGATATTTATTTAACGCGAATAAAACAAAAAAAAAAAAAAAAGAAAGAGAGAGAGAGAGAGGAACGAAAAAAAGGAATAAAAATGTGAAAGAAAGAGAAAATACATCTAACGGGTCGGTGGTAACACGAAACTGATTTTAATGGTCGCCGACCAGGACCCTTCTCTCCCCCTGGCGTCGAAATATCGACGACGCAACTTAACACCACACTGTAATTACAGCGACAGAAATAATCGGGCTCGTTGTTTCGTCGAGTTTCTCCCCTTTTCTGTTCTCTCTCTCTCTCTCTCTCTCTCTCTCTCTCTTTCTTTCTCGCTGCTCGAATTCATTCGAAACACCAGACAAATAAATGTGATTCACCGGGATAATGTCTGACATGATTGGCTTTCTTTCTTACTTCGCGTCGACGAAGATTAACTTCAAGTCCAACGACGCACGGAACATGAACATGTTCTGATAGAGTTTGACTTCCGTGAGGCAACGTCCCGGCAGAGAATGGCCCACTGCCAGTAGACCGACTTTCCGAATGCAGTGTCGACCTGCACCGTCTTCGTATTCCGAGCCAACTGGACCTTCGATGATACACCTTAGATAGCCGGAACAGTGTATTACCTGTAACGAGTGAAATCAATTCGTCTATACAGGAGAAATACTCCTTAAAAAGGTTCCTTCTAATTAAGACTTTCCACCTTAAAAAAGTTCATCCGTCTAAAAATAATTTGATGATAGTTTCATCGAGGTCGCTGCTATGTCATAGCAGTTTCAGTTTTTAAATGAAAATCTTTTTTTTTTTTTTTTTTTTTTAGGAGAATTAAAGATTAATTTCGAAATTACCTGAATTGGTTAATTTCTCGCAGAGGAATTTTGTTAATTAACTTTCGATCAACCGCAGGGGCACAGTTTAAAGATGGGAACGAAAGGAGGGATTATTCAAACGAAACGTCGCAATTAAGAGCGGAATACTCAGCACGAAGGACTTATAGTTATTTACACATGTGCACGTGATTATTCTTAATGTTATACAGCGGTCCCGATAGGACTTAAGTGCGACACTCGAGCGAGTTCCCTCGGGGTTGAAGTGCGGATTTTCGCGTGGAACGACGCGGCTCCCAAGAGCAAATTAACAATTCCTGCTTAATTAAATGGCCGAAGAAACGGAAAAAAAGCCTCGTTCAACGTCGCCTGTGTCTCGAGTAGATGACAGATTTGTAAAGCAAATAGGCTTGTTCCGTATGCCCGCGTTGCATACTCTCACTTCTCTCATATATGCAATTCTGCGTTGCATTGGCGCGGGCCCGAGCGTGCGTGCACGGGAACACGAGGGTGACGTAAAGCCGGCAGGAAACGAAATACATAATTCGCGACGGGGTGCGGATACGCTTGATTCCGTCTCTGGAAACGAGCTCGAGAGACGCGCTGAAGAACGGATTTTTGCATGTACAGTATCGTTCAGCAATGAATTGTCCCTCTCAATTCAAAGCCAAATTGGTCAATATCCTTTTGCAAATTTTTCTCAATTCTCATCACATCTCAGATGATTTATTTCCATAAATCTTGTTTCCTCCAAGGAAGCGGCGCAAGTGATAATAAATTTCAAACTCAATTTAAAAGTTAATGCATCGTCACATCTGTGTGTTTCTTTATGTTTCAATTTCTGAAACTCGTCGGCGTTTTCGCAGAGTTCAGTCTTCTGCAGCGCGAAAAGGAAAAAAGGAAAAAGAAAAGAATTTACCTGTAATAAAATTTCTTAAAACTAGTTAGAAAGAAAGGAGACGCAACTTTCACGATTGTCGAAAATTGTAACCCTTTCGCTCGTTTGTGAGGTCGTCGATCTAATCCACTGTACGCGTACGAATCCGTGTAAATCGGACAAAACGCGTGCTCGCACCTCCACGAAGTCAAGCCAACTACGGGCCCGGGCTTTGTGCGTCTAAGTGCCATACAAAAAGCTGCCTCCATTCCCCGTAAACTCCCTCCTACCCCCCTCGGGGAATTCGCCTTTAACAGCTTACAGGGGTTGCATTCATGATTTTGCTCAACGCCTATTGGGGTCCTTTCTATGCGCGATTTCGTCGAGAGTCACGGTCATCATAGCGCTGCTGGCTTGAACGAGCTATTTGCCAAACATTTTCCTTCTCGAGGGCTGTCTCTCCTTTGCTACGGCAAGTGCAAAGTGTCGCAGGTCCCTTTTCCATACACCCTGCGCGCACCACCCTTTACGAACGATAAGTGAAACGATCGTTATTGCCTGAACATATGTGGCACATTTGTTGAAATCAAGCCGGATCACCGTTGAAAGTACCGGGGTGGATGGATATCCTGATTTCTGGTAAATCGTTCACGGTATTAATGATCATAAATCGCACGGTGAGCAATTGTCGACGGAATCTGGACCGTACCGGCAGACCGATTTAATCGGATCGATAAAAGTAATTTGGGTAATCCATGAATAACGATGCGTTCCGTGTCCGGGGCATCGATCCTAGCCACGAAAAGTGGATTTGAGATATTCAGTGTAACGTAATTGGTAGCTTGAGTGGTGTTTGAGGGTATTTTAAAAAAAATTGAAGTTCCATCTCAGAGTCACTGGTTTGTCACTGGTTTCGATTAGAATTACGACCAGTTGCAAATAGATCGGAGTTTCAAAATATTTATTAGCAATGGAATATACCTGCGGCTAAAAACATCTGGCTAAAAGACATTTCGCAAATTTCTGATTTTCCTATCAGAGAAGACACGCCGTTGAAAGCAAACGAACGAAAAGACACGTTCGAAGTGTAGAAAAATTATCTGGGAAGCTCGACTCGAGAACGAACGGGGAACGAAATGAAATCGACTGAAATAAAATTGTTCAACGATGGGACCAAACACGGCCACAGTGTGATGGATTCCCGTAAATTTCGATTATTCCGGATATACGAAACACGTTCACGTGGCCGGTGTTTTTATTGCAACGGAAGGAACGGATGCAGCCGATGGAGCGAATTTAAGCAGCATCCTACCTGGTGGCCGTTTTCTTTTCGACTCGCACGTGACCAGGACAATACCGTCCCTACTTAGCTTGCCACTTCTTATCTCTTATTTAGCATTTGAATTTTTATTCGTTTTATGATTTCCTGTGCAAGCAACCTAGGCGTTATGCTAATCGCCGATCGTCTCATCCGCGCCACCTTCTCCCGCCGCTTGTTTGCCGCGAATATTGCGCGATTTACGAAACTCAATAAACCGATAATCGCCCGGTACTTTCGCACCCAAGATAATCGCGTACGCCCGGGCTGTTTAAGAAAATTTCACCCGGCTCCGACGCCTTTAAAATTTATCTTTTTAAAGTACACTTATCGATGTAATTATAGAACTATTATATTCTTAACGCTGAAATTACCAATGAGCGAAGTAACTGAACTTGCAGGTAGCGGACAAGTCAAAACGAAACCAGAAAAGTATTTGTTACCTTGTATCCTTCCGTCACCAGTCCCGCGCATCTCTTCGCCAAATTGCACTTCATCCTCAGAATAAAGACACGCTCCAGTTCGATCTCGCCTCTCGAGTTTGCAGGCGGAAAAGTGAATCCAGCGAGATCAGCCGGGGTCTGCGGTAAGTTTAGGACCGACAACATTTCCGCGTGATCGTTCTGATAGATGTACTCGAAGATACTATTCCCTGTTAATTCCACCTAAATTCATTAACATTTCTCGTCAGGAGATTTCGTCTGACATGTTCATCGTCCTAGTGTACTCTTGCATGAAATAATTCGAAGTAGATAAAAAAAGGGGATAATATGTATATATATATATATATATATATATATATATATATATATATATGTATGTATGTATGTATGTATGTGTGTATATGTAAATCTGACCTGTGCCATTCCCAAATGCACGCTGGCAGTTTCACTTATGTACATAATTTTGCCATCAGGCGCCAGGACAAACACGAAACCGTCCAAGGCCTGAAATAAAAGAAATCATCTTTGAGAAACACAGTCGAACGATTGGTGAAGACGAGAAACAAGGAGAAAAGTATTCTGATCTTTAGAAATTAGAATTCAACGCCTCGTTACGCCCTGATCTCTTTCTCTTATCGAACAGAACAGCTTTCAACTCCTGGTCGCGCCCTTATCTCGTTTAAACGAAATTCTTAAGGTTGTCAGGAAAATGAATTAGTATCTGTCTGTGGTAATACCATAGGCTAAACGTTTGACGTTGTTTGTCTGACAACGTATGTAAGACCGTTGGATCGATTTATAAGGCGCGACACAGAGAACGATGAGTGCTTACTTGCAAAATATAACTAGTCACCTCCTTGAGGGCGATTTGCAGGGAGATGTTGCCAGGTTGAGACGCGCCCCATTCTTCGCCGAGCCCTGAAAAAATCATTTCACCAACGTCAGACTTTTGGCTGCACCGATCTTCCCCAGAATTGATAATTTCTCTTGCTTGTGAGAACGAAGAAAAATTCACGTTCTCTTTCTCTTTTCATCCGCGATTCTTTCTAATTCTGCGACTAATAATTAGCTCCGTTGACTGGTCATCGTGGAAAGAGTTAGTTGGTTTTCATCGAAACGGAAAGAGAAAACTTGCCTTTAACGGTTAGCGATTTAACACCTGAGAGAAAGATGTACATCGCAACACGTCGGGTCTCCTTGTCCCGATATACATGTTCCTAGCGACGTTTCGTATTCGGTGTATAAGTAAGTCTATAGCCAAGTATTTCGTGTCTGCGCATTAATTACATTCACGCGCGCGCTGTCACGATTGCAGCTGCAGGGGCGTTTTCTGCAGCCGCGTGAAATTTCACGGAAAATGGCTTGATCGTTGCCATCTCACCGACGCCGCGGCTCGCCGTTTCGCTGAATTTTGTCAGATATCTCACTTATCGACGCTCCACTTCGAATTTCTCGACGAAATAATTTTTTAAGCAACCGACCACCGATGATATCCACGTCAGACGATTAAACAATTCGACAATAGCAAACTGAATCGAACACAGTTGTTATCGAAAATCGGCGATTTCTCGACACGAGCTTGAAACAGAATCAGTTTATCCGTCTGAAACGTATTTCACGCTCGTTTGCCCGTTCATCGGCTAATTTTCCACGCGAATGAAAAGGAACGCACTCCCGTGAAGTGTCGCCGACGAGTGGACGACGTGTCTCTTTTTTCCTCTATCTTCTCCCTTTCCTTTCATTTTTTCAGAGAATAAAGACGCGGCCGTATTTCTAGAGGGATGCAGCCACTTGAAATTCAATTCACCGATGTCGTAAGAACGCGTGGTGGAGGGGGGTGAGACGAGGGAAGCCATTGTAACACTATAACAGCCCCCATGCTTTGCTTACAAAGCAGCGGGGACTAACAATGCATTAAGTGCGCAATCACATCCATCTCATCCGATACTATTTGCCCTTTGCGCGTAAGTGTCCGGTGGCTGAATTAACAAAGAATACCGCTCCAATCCGTTTACCGCTAAGTGAAGTTTATTACTTGGCACGTGGTATCGCGTCCCGCGTAACCATTCACTCTGACAATTACCAATCGATCTATTTCTTCCACTGTTTCCTGAGCGTTATCGCGTTAAACACACTCGAGGAAAGAGGGTGGGGCGTGGTGAATTTTTCTCCGTTGAAATCGATTAACCCAATTAACCTCTTGCGCTGGAATGACGTGCCACGCACGTCGAGAACTGTTTTGTTTGTCCAAAAATTGCAATATTTCTTCAGTTTTAAGTATATTTGAGTATAACCCAGTCAAAACAAATTTATCACTTCTCGGTAATTTCTATCCAGCGATATCATATCGACGAGTTTCAAAAGAATGCGACGAATTGTTGTTTATACGGTTTGGTCACTCGTTATGGTCCGCAATCAATTGCCAGCGCAAGTGGTTAAGGGCCAATTTTTCTTCTGCAGTCTTTCCCCGGTTATAATACCAGGATATTGTGGTATACAAAGTGCTATACAGAGAAAGGAATATATATATATACACACACAAAGATTCGTTGACTATCACTTGTAGCAATCCAATAAATGAATTGTGAATTGGAAATTCTAATTTCATAGGGTCAAAAGTCATGATTTTTCTGAAATAGTACAATCAGAGTACCGTTTGGGAACAACGCTCGCATCTTCAAGTAACTGGTCGTCAACCGAATGACGCTAGCTTTATCCATTTGACCCGTGAGAGCGGATGGTACGGGTAACAGCTTCGCAAGCTCCAAAAACTCTTGATTCTCCCTGTCGCGGCGGACACGCGCTGCCTTCTTACTTTTCTCCTTCATTACGACTTCCTGCGGGCCGGACGTATTAGTGATAGAATTGCCGTTCAAAGGGTAGTGATTGTGCGAGCTCAGGTCTAGAGTGTCTGAACTGGAATTGTTGTCTGGAACAGAGAAATATTACAAAAGCACACATTGGAGGGAATGATCTCGGAAAGTATCTATGAGACTTTGGAAAACTTTATAATGTTTTACAAAGGGAGGAACGGAATAACACGCTAACTAAGATGGTGAAACGAGATGGAAATAAAACGTACGTAAACAATATGCTGGGAATAGGAAAGAAATGAGAATGCTGCTGGGACCAGTTCGCGGAAGTAACGTTGCTAATATCGACGTCGTGGAAGAACGATACAGCGCGAAAGCCATAACGACGCCGAAGCTGCTCGTTACGAGAACCGAAAGCAAAGGGAGCAAACCGTCATTAAAACGCCAGCAAGAGAGCAATCTAACGACGTAGCTACCCATCTGCCGAGACTTCTCACGGATGGAAATTCGCTTGAATAATGCATTTTTTTCCTGCTCCGTCGTTTCAGTCACCAATTCCACTGCTCGGTCGCAACATCTTCCCAATGAAGTGTTGCAATATCTCCGTTCATTTTCATTCTTTTCTTTTCTGCTCTTTTCTTTTCACATTCACTCTTCGTTTCAAAGAATTTTTGATTTTGAAATCAGCTTTACGGGATCAAAAAGGAATCCTAAAGAGTTGGATTGTAAGAAAGGATTCATAAAAAATAATTTGACCAAAAACTTTTGCTTTGTAATGAAACACGAGAAAAAGAATTCTGAGGTTCTTGGTTTTAATTAGTTTTAGTCGCGGAATAGGGGGGGGGGGAGGAAAATAAAGAAGGTGGAGACTTCAGGAAACTAGAGGTGCATTAACGTAGTACCTAGAATCACCGTGGAAGAGTTAACATGCATAACACCATAGAAGTGTGCTTATTCCTGTATTCTCAGAATCAACAGTTAAAAATTACTTGTTTCCTGTGGCCACAAAGAACAAGGAAATTTAAAGATTTTCTTCTTTGTCATGAATTTATTGAACAAGTACATACAAAAAAGTTTGAAGAATGAATGAAAAATGCGAACAAAGCAGTCTAAACTTGATTATTCATTTGAGAATATTTTAATTAGAACTGAGAACATTTAAAAAAAATTTAAAAAACAACGAACATGTCTTTTAATAATTTCATTATTCAACTAAAATTATAAAACAGGTTCTATTTTTTTCACGTTATACGTCCTTGTCAAAACAGGAGCACAACAATTTCCGATTGGCTTTTGTCCGACAGACATCAAAGTTGCGATTAAAAACAAATAGCGATTTCAAATCGACGTGTTCCGAAACAAACTTCGATACCTTTTTCAGCCCGTTTTCGTCTCCAATTACCAATATAAGAATCGCTTTCTAGAATAACACGACTGTGACTCTCAACGGGCGCCATTTTCCACATATCTTCAGATTGGCACACATATCTTCAGACTGCACACGCGCAACTCGATCAAACAGGACACGTTTACTACCATGGAAATACGCTCGTGACACTTATAGAAGCGCGTGCTTTTCACATCGCGTTGACCACGTGTTCCGGACAACTTGGAAGTTTTGGAACTTTGGAATTCCTCCCCCTCCTCTCTTCTCTTGATCGCGTACGCACAAACACACAGTTTCATACACGTATGCGCGCAGCTTCCTCTGGACTAACACCTGGACAAGATGAAAACGAAAAGAGGAAGGACTTGTTTGCTTTCAGAGGAAATAAGGAGACTTCCTCCAAAAGTGAAACAGGACGTAAATACGCCAACGTTCAATCGAAAGTATTTAAATGAATCTTGACAGAGAAGGCACGCACAACGACCGACATCCTTTGGACAAGCGTACGAAGTTGTTCGTGGATACCTCGCGCGTCGCGTTTCGGTTCTTTCCTCTTTCTCTCCGGCGACGTGTCTGTCCTCCTACTGCTGTTCTATTTCGCTTCCATCTCATCCTGGATGCTGTTTCTCGATGGGGTAGGTAAGCCGTGAGGTACCACCCTTATTTTAAGCTCCACCCTTGGAGCAGGGTCAGTCGAAAGACCCCTCTGTTTCACGCACGTGAAAACTTCTCTCTGTCTGCGTTCCCCGTTCTCTAGACGAGGGAGAGACGGAGCGAAAAAGATGAAACGAGAGGAGAGTAAAACTGGCTACAGAGAGGAAAGAAACGGAAGGGCAGGAGCGAGACAGGAACGGCAGAGATTTGTCGGGAAAAGCATGTTCGAGTGACAGCCCTGCTGGACGGTTGTTACACAACGAGAACGGCGGGTGGCGAAATTTGTAGGCGAAGGCAATTGCTGGTGGCCGTACTGTTCCTTTGGTCAGACATCGTAAAACACCTGTAACTATCCCCATGATTGTATCCACCGTGTGGTGAATTTCGAAACTTCCTTCCGAATCCAGATCCGAGATCAAATCGATTGCGCGAGCAATTGTTGAGATTGTCGTTCCGACCGCAAATTTCGTCGATTAAAATCCTCGTTCACACGCGATAAATGATCAGGCAAGCAAATAGAGGACGGATGAAATTATTTTCACAAAAATTACAAAAGGCAATAAATAGTGAATTCGCTTTTATATAAATAAAAGTTCTCGTTTCGGTTTAGCTGCCCCCTCCCCCCCCCCTCCTTCCCGTCCCCCGATCAAATAAAATTTGAACCGAATAACTCAACGTTGAGACAAACAGTGTAGAATTTTCCGAAACAATCTCCGCAGAAAAAGCTTTCACGGTGACGACGAAGCCTGAGACACAACGATTCTGTCACGTTTCGAAATTCTCATTGCCGAGAACGGTCACGTGTGCGAATTCTTCTTGACGAAAACGTCGGAGAGACAAGGAGCGACAGGTTGGCACCTGTATTTTACGACTTAGCTGTACAACCACCTTGCTGTGCACCTTTTTGCCAAGAGCAAAGTGAACCTCGAAATAGGAAACAGTGCTGCCAATATGTTCCGGAAGGAAGGACCTTTCGTTTCTCTATCGTGGAATGACAATGCCCTTACGAACACGTGTTTCTCTTCTTTTGGTGTTATCCTCGTCACCTCGCCGTGGTATTCTTCGTTAAACACTTTCTATGCTTGGCTCGGGTCGACAGGTAGAAAAGATCTAATACGAAACATGTGTTTCTTCTTGGCCCTCTGTCTCTCATCATCCTTGCACCTTGCCAGGGCTAAGACGCGATATAACAACCCGAAACAGAAAAAGAAAAATGAATAAGTTTACTTGCAAACCCTCGCGGTCCATTGTTGTCTGTGGCTGCACCTCAACTTGGTCGGGATTATTCAGATATTTGAAGAAGACTCGTCATTCAAGGTCATCGATTCATAAATATTGATTTTTTTTCAAGGGCAAAGTAACTTTCCTCGGCTCGAACGTTTGTTTCACGGAGAGAAATATTTTCTTTAGTGTTTAGTTATCCCCTTTTCCTTCATATTTATGGAAAAGTTAGTAAAGAAGTTTGATATCCATAAGAAGTTTGATATCAATAACGATGGTATCAAAACAACGAATTCATAACATATTTCCGAAAGTGATATATTATTGAAGAAACGAAAGCAAACGCACGTACATACGTATATTCGTTTCCGCGTTTCGTAACGCATTCGTTTTTTAAACACCACTGTCCAAACGCAGCAGTAACCATCCCCCCCCCTCCGTCTCCCCCTCTCTGCTCGAATTGCAAAAATTGTGAAAATTATTTTAAAATTCACGAACATTTACAAGTACAATCTCACGATGTTTACAAATACGTTACGAGGAAAAACCAGCAAAGCGTTTCGAAAAACCTGAATCTTTCCTCGCGCCGTTCGTGCTTCTGAATTCCAAGATTCTCGATTTGTCTCTATTGACAAGTCTATTACCTTCCCAAACGCGTCTTTGCCAGCAAACATTTTCCTAAAATTAGGAATCACTTGGAACTTTCAAAGGAATATCGTAGCGTAGGATCTGAGAGAACAAGAATGTCTGGATCGTGACACCTGAATGCGACCTAGCAGACCATCAGAATTAATGAATTCCTCGGCCCTTTGAACAAACCCTTGGTAAATCCCAGCGAATCGATTCGGTTTCGTTCTGGAGCGTATCCAGCGGCGCTGTACTAGGTCAGACTTAGGTGAATTACCATCGTCAAACGATTACCAATGGTAACACGTACAGGAGGATTCGTATAAACGCGGGAGGGGGGAGGGTAACACTACCGATTCTTGTCGTTCGTGACCGTCTCAATGCATTTTCGAGGGCGCGCGAGCTTGCAACTCCGCAACGGCTTAACATCGGCTCACCTACATTCTTGTCGCCAGATACCACGCGTAACCATCCCCTGCGCACTTTTTCCTAGTTTGTTACACCCCCTCACCGTATATCCGTATAGCCGTACGTTTCTAAGAACTCCGTTGTGCTCGAAACGAAAAGACAAGGGAGAGGAGGGTGGTACGCGCGCGATTCATCATCCCCTTTTGCCCACGACAGAAAATCCATTCACCGATCCCACGACACAATCGGGGAGTGTGCTCACGCATTTTAACAATCCGAAAGAAGGTTGACTGGTCGACATCGTTGGTCTAGGTCGTAGACAGGACTTGATTTGTCGAGTGGATCGGATTTGGGCTTCAGTTGCCAAGATCTCTGAATTTCTTTGGGTTCTGAATAAATTTCAGGATGAAAGATGTTAAGATTTAGCAAATTGACGAATAGTGCGAATAAATCAATGATTTAAACTACGAAGGAGAGAAGCGGAGAGAAAAACTTTTGCAACTGATTTTTCCAAAGTAAACACACGAGAAGAACCAACGTGGCAAATTTTTGTTGTTCGATTCTATTTCCTTGCTTTGGTTGAACTGTACGATGATGTAACTGGATCGTAGCTTGAATTATCAGCACGCAGCGTGTTCGAGCATAAACTACGATATTTAGGTAGCTACATTGACCATATGATACGAATGGTGACGAATATGGACCCTATTCCGCTAAAAGAACGAACGCCCGAATTGACCACGTTTCACCCTGTTGTGAATTTCATTGGCGCCGCGAACTGCAAGTCCAAATATCAATACGCCAAAAAAATTCTACAAC